TTTCGAATTTAGTAATAATATACAAGCAATCGGGAAAGAAAAGTGAACTGAGGAAATCGGCTGATATGTAAGCGGTGAATACGTGTGAAAACATAATGCTGTGAGCCTTTCCCTGAGTTGATAAATTTGAAGAACGATCTCCTATGAGAGTAAATGTAGCCGAAAAAATCAAAGTTTTCAGGAGAATAAATTGAAGGGAAGAGAGGAGAGCTGGTAGCATCAGATTACAACGCCTCCGAAGAAGAAGAAGAAGGCATTAACCTATCAAAAAAAATAGATATACGCATATTGGGATGATGAACACATATATCATGGATAAGAATATGCTCGAATACATATATATACGATACAACTGAGAGACAAACAAACTCACGAGAAACAGAGGAAGAACCAGACGAGGTGAATCCCAGGGTGGTGAACGCAGACGAGGAGAGAGGTGTAGACGAGGATAACGTTAAGACAGCAGATGTCGAAGGAGATGATAGCGACGCAGATTTTACTGTTGATGATGGTGAAGTTTGAGGTGTTGTGGAGGAGAGTTGTTGTGTGAGGGCTGATGTTTGAGAGGTGAGTGTGATTGTGGGTGTTGGTGTTGGTAGTGTTGCAGGTGTTGATCCGGTGAATTGTGGAGTGGAGGAGATGTTAGCGATTGCGATGGGGGGTGATTGTGTTTGAGGAGTGGGTGTTGTGGCATTGAGTGTTGACGTGTGTATTTGAGTAGTTGTGGGCGTTGGTGTTTGTGAAGAGATTGGTGAGGAGGTAGTTGTGTTAGCGGTGATTGGTGTTGGTGTGGTCGTTGGAGTAGCTGTAGCAGTAACTGTAACTGCGGCTGTTGCTGTGGTTGTGGCTGTGGCTGTGAGTGTTGGTGTGGGAGTGTCTGTCGGTGATGGTGTGGATATGAGTATGGGTATTGGTATTGGTGTAGGTATAGCTGATGCGTTTGTTGTTGGGATTGGTGATGTGGGCGGAAACGTGGGTGACGTGGATGTTGGTTTTGGAGATGGTGTTGGCGAGAGTGATGGTGATGGTGATGTTGATAATGTTTTATTGGTCGGAGGATTTGGTGTAGTAGGTGTTGTGATTTGTATCGTTGATGTGTCTTTTATTTGTGTGGTTTCTGTAACGTAAGGAATAATTATTTTTATTGGAATTTCGTATAATAAAGTATGGTATACTTTGTGGTTGTTTTTAGTTTTTTTATTATTCCTTCACACTTTTGGGTTTTTTTTTCTGGCACGGCTTCCATTTTTGTGATTTGCTATCGGGTTTTCTTCTGGTAGGTGATTCACCTATTTCCCATGTTTTTTTTTCAATTTTCAGCTATTGAGTTTTTCATTCAGAATGATTTGAATTGAATGATTTATTTCCTATACTTGCTTTTTACTGTTGGAAATAATGCGTGTGTCGTGTTCCTTAGATCTGTGATACTCGTTCCTGAATGCTAAGTGATTAACGATTATGTGGCTTGGTGGTGTATGGAATGTGTGATGGTGGCGTCTTATGACGCGTTGTTCGACCTACCTGTTTTCCTTTTTTATTTTCTAATATGTCAATGTCTCTTTATGTTGTCTATTCATTTACCAGCCATTATCTGGGTTACTTGTAAATTTTTGCTGATATAGGCTGGTTATTCCATACTACCGTCAATGCCTAATACTATTTATTTTTCTGAATGTTTTATCTGGTTAAGTGGGGGTTATGTTTTTAAAACTGAATGTGCACTACAAGACTTGATTTTAATTGATACATGTTCTCATGGTATATAAGAAAGTTTTATAAGAACGAACGCGGATTGCAGTGTTCATTGCTATAGGTTACGAAGTTCATTTATGTAAGCCTTGTCTGACTAAATTTCTGCTTATATTGCAATAGATAATCTCCGATAAAATGTTTTTCATCAGGCTATTGAGTTATTTCCTTTTTGGTGTTCAGGTAAACACTTTAAGGTAACTTGTCAACTTGGGAGCATCTTCAGAGTCGTATACTTACTAAACCATGACGGATGTGATGTAGGTTTTCTTCCAAAAATGGTGAAAGATTCGTCGATATGAATTGAAAAACCTTAAAAAATTCAAGATTACTAGACAGCTGTTTCGGTCTTGTTTGCGACCCTTCATCAAACAGTACGGACGCATGACGTCACTGAATGTCGAACCTGATACGTTTAAGTCACGAGTCAGGCTCGTCGACTACTCAATGAGTGGGAGAAAACCTATCAGCCACTGAGTGAATTAACCTAATAGATTTATTTTCGTGTGATAAGACAACATGTGAAGTGCCAAAATTATCTAGTGGTTAACTGTATGTCCCCTGGTAAGGCGAAACCAACAGTTCAACTGTCAGGAGAGATTGTACTAATCAAATGAGTACTCTTATCCAGGTTCTAGATTAGAGTAGATCAGATTAGACTAGATAAGATATACACAGCCACTCACGAGTGTTCAATACCTGCCATACTCTTTATTTTATCTTAGGTGGGATCGTTTGATGAATGTGTTAATTGTGAAGTAGTGTAGTTGTATTGTCTTGGAGAGTATTTTCAGGGCAAAGGCAGTTAGTTCACTTATCAAGGTGGTCTTCTCAAACTCTGAGAAGGAAGTGTGTAAGAGTCAACATCTGAATTCACGATAATGCATCCATCGTATCTACTAATGATATCCACTGTGATCAATAGAAGTTTGTATATTTATGAATTCAATGGAATCGACTTACCAGCTGAAGGAGATTTGGCTATTTTTAAACATGCCAATGATACGGTAGTGTAGTGTAGTGTAGGGGTGAGACTGTGTCGAAAAGAGGAACACTTTCTCTAAAAAATACACAAATTAGTTATTTGAGTACATGTGGTATGTTTGAGTTGTGAGTTTGTCTGGATTTCAGGTTAGATCTGGTCAGTAAGTAGAATCAGTTAGAGAATCGGTGAAGTTCAATGTTGGTAGTTTTCAGGATTACGCAGGAAAATATCCACCAGGAGTGGTACCAGAGAACTTCAGTTTGCACTTCAGTTTGCGAGACCAGTAAGTAAGTATGCTACTATTCCGCCACTGGGAAGGATCGAATGATCTAATTAATGGTGGATGAATTCTAAGTGTATGTCATACCATCCATCCCCTGTGATCTTTGAAATGCCATCCGATTTGTTTTTTTTTTTATAAATTATTTGCCATTAATATTATTATTATTATATAAGAAGTAGAAAGTGAAAAGTTGTAGCACCTTGACTGATTCATATATATGTGTGGGATGTTGTATTTCATTAATTTATATAAATGAAGCGAGAAAGTGAGTTGTGTGAGTAGTGGCTTGATATGAGGATTATGAGCAGCAATGATTTGTGCTGGAGAAGTCATGAGTAAATGTTACTTACTTACTGTATAACAAACAACACTGTGTGTGATTTTATCAAGATGAAATTCTATCCATTACGGAGTGTTGTAGTCTAAGGGATTGACGCTGTTTTTTTTATTATCCTTATATCAAGGATGAGAAAGAAGTTGAAGTATCAAATTAGGAAGAAGGCTGAATTCTCTTTACTACTGATTGACTGAGATATGAGTAGTTGGATAGCAATGACCAATGTCACATGAAGCAGGAGTTTTTGTTAAACCCATGGAATAGTGTCTGTCTCACTGTATGACAAAGGTGTTCGTCGGTGATACAGTGGTAGAATGGTGGCTGACGACGCGTCATGTGGTCCGGGTTTGAATTCCCTAATGGCGACCGACGAACTCGTTTCCACCTCGCTAAGCCAGTAAGTAATAAGGCTGGTGAAGAGGGATGGTTGAGCGTGAGACTAGCAACCCCATCCCGTGGAAATAATAAACACCACTGCTACCGAAGAAACTGCAAGCCTGTAGCTTGAAGGTGCCGTATGTTCTACTGGAAACGAAAAGTATTCAATAAACAAATGACAGAGGTGGCTTACATCAGTAAGTGAGGGAGTGAGAGGGACAGAGCTAATAATGGTTGTATGGGAGAAACAGTTTGAGAAATTATCTATATAAATATATTGCACAGATTATCTCTCGTTCGGTGTGTTTTAATGGGTTGAGATGTGACCTCTATTGATATTATCTACTCTTGTGTGTATTTCAAATGTTGACAAGCTTCTGTTTCTCAAGTTCCTACTAAACTTGAGAAAAGGCCTGATTATGGTTGGCAACGTTTCCCGATGCATAAGATAACTAACTGTTCTTCAGTTCTATCCATGTGTATCTAAAAGTACTTCTGAACATCTTACAATCGGCCTTCAACTAGATATCGTGGATTTCTTGAAGGAGACAAAGCAGATATGTATCATAATGGAATGGTTAGTGTTACAAGTCAGAGACCATTGTGTCACGCACAGGAAGGAGGATATACTGTCAATTAATATTCTACTTGAAGATATTGTATTGAGGGAAAGCGTCATGCAATGAACTGCTCTGAAAATTCTGTCCAGAATAGAGATGTTATTATTATAATAATTATTTAAAGCATTATCACCAGTGGTCCCAGCCATGGGTTCTGAGTATGCTGAGAAAGTCTACACCGCCGTATGTGACTACCTCAAATGAAACGTGAAAGGCTTTATAGATTGATGTCAGGTTTTGGTTGGTATGCTGACTCCTGCGTGTTTTGACATCTTGTTTCGAATTTAGTAATAATATACAAGCAATCGGGAAAGAAAAGTGAACTAAAGAAGCCAGCTGATATGCAAGCGGTGAATACGTGTGAAAAGATAATGCTGTGAGCCTTTCCCTGAGTTGATAAATTTGAAGAACGATCTCCTATGAGAGTAAATGTAGCCGAAAAAATCAAAGTTTTCAGGAGAATAAATTGAAGGGAAGAGAGGAGAGCTGGTAGCATCAGATTACAACGCCTCCGAAGAAGAAGAAGAAGGCATTAACCTATCAAAAAAATAGATATACGCATATTGGGATGATGAACACATATATCACGGATAAGAATATGCTCGATTACATAAATATACGATACAACTGAGAGACAAACAAACTCACGAGAAACAGAGGAAGAATCAGACGAGGTGAATCCAAGGGTGGGAAACGCAGACGAGGAGAGAGGTGTAGACGAGGATAACGTGGAGACAGCCGATGTCGAGGAAAGTGTTGGCGAGAGTGATGGTGATGTTGATGTAAGTGATGTTCGAGTTGAGGTTTGTGGTGTTGTGGAGGAGAGTTCTTGTGTGAGGGCTGATGTTTGAGAGGTGGTTGTGTGTGTGGGTGTTGATCCGGTGAATTGTGGAGTGGAGGAGATGTTAGCGATTGCGAGGGGTGATTGTGTTTGAGGAGTGGGTGTTGTAGCATTGAGTGTTGACGTGTGTATTTGAGGAGTTGTGGGTGTTTGTGTTTGTGAAGAGATTGTTGGAGAGGTGGTTGTGTTAGCGGTGACTGGTGTTTCCGTGATCGCTGTTGTAGGTGTGGCTGTGGCTGTAGCTGTGGGTGTGGGTGTTGCAGTGGATATAGGTGTTGGTGTGGGAGTGTCTGTCGGTGATGGTGTGGATGTGAGTATGGGTATTGGTATTGGTGTAGCTGATGCGTTTGTTGTTGGGATTTGTGATGTGGCCGGAGACGTGGGTGACGTGGATGTTGATTGTGGTGATTGTGTTAGCGAGAGTGATGTTTGAATTGATGTTGGATTGGTGGAGGAGAATTCTGCCGTAGATGTGGTGATGCTTGTTTTGGATGTTTCTGTGATTGGGGTGGCTTCTGTAATGTAAGGAATAATTATTTTTATCTGAGTTTAAATGAGTGTTTAATCCTGCGTGTTTTGAGATTTTTTTAGCTTATTGATTGTGCTTTTGGAGTTATGTATTTGTTATTATTTGGTTTTCGCTTTTCTGCTTATTGGTACTTTTCAGGATTACACAGGAAAATGTTCACCAGGAGTGGTACCAAAGTACTTCAGTTTCCGAGACCAGTAAGTATCCTACTATTCCGCCACTGGGAAGGATCGAATGATCTAATTAATGGTGGATGAATTCTAAGTGTATGTCATACCATCCATCCCCTGTGATCTGTGAAATGCCAGCCGATTTGTTTTTTTTTTTATAAATTATTTGTCATAATTATATAAGAAGTAGAAAGTGAAAAGTTGTAGCACCTTGACTGATTCATATATATGTGTGGGATGTTGTATTTCATTAATTTATATAAATGAAGCAAGAAAGTGAGTTGTGTGAGTAGTGGCTTGATATGAGGATTATGAGCAGCAATGATTTGTGCTGGAGAAGTCATGAGTAAATGTTACTTACTTACTGTATAACAAACAACACTGTGTGTGATTTTATCAAGATGAAATTCTATCCATTACGGAGTGTTGTAGTCTAAGGCATTGACGCTGTTTTTTTTTAATCCTTATATCAAGGATGAGAAAGAAGTTGAAGTATCAAATTAGGAAGAAGGCTGAATTCTCTTTACTACTGATTGACTGAGATATGAGTAGTTGGATAGCAATGACCAATGTCACATGAACCAGGAGTTTTTGTTAAACCCATGGAATAGTGTCTGTCTCACTGTATGACAAAGGTGTTCGTCGGTGATACAGTGGTAGAATGGTGGCTGACGACGCGTCATGTGGTCTGGGCTTGGATTCCCTCCCGGCGACCGACGCACTCGTTTCCACCTGGCTAAGCCAGTAAGTAATAAGGCTGGTGAAGAGGGATGGTTGAGCGTGAGACTAGCAACCCCTTCCCGTGGAAATAATAAACACCACTGCTACCGAAGAAACTGCAAGCCTGTAGCTTGAAGGTGTTGTATGTTCTACTGGAAACGAAAAGTATTCAATAAACAAATGACAGAGGTGGTTTACATCAGTAAGTGAGGGAGTGAGAGGGACAGAGCTAATAATGGTTGTATGTGAGAAACAGTTTGAGAAATTATCTATATAAATATATTGCACAGATTATCTCTCGTTCGGTGTGTTTTAATGGGTTGAGATGTGACCTCTATTGATATTATCTACTCTTGTGTGTATTTCAAATGTTGACAAGCTTCTGTTTCTCAAGTTCCTACTAAACTTGAGAAAAGGCCTGATTATGGTTGGCAACGTTTCCCGATGCATAAGATAACTAACTGTTCTTTAGTTCTATCCATGTGTATCTAAAAGTACTTGTGAACATCTTACAATCGGCCTTCAACTAGATATCGTGGATTTCTTGAAGGAGACAAAGCAGATATGTATCATCATGGAATGGTTAGTGTTACAAGTCAGAGACCATTGTGTCACGCACAGGAAGGAGGATATACTGTCAATTAATATTCTACTTGAAGATATTGTATTGAGGGAAAGCGTCATGCAATGAACTGCTCTGAAAATTCTGTCCAGAATAGAGATGTTATTATTATAATAATTATTTAAAGCATTGAAGCAGGCGTGAGGCCTGCAACCCCACCCTGTAAACAAACCTTCTACAGAAACTTCAGCATGAACAATCTCCCTGCGTCAAAAGAAAAGGTCTGTGTGGGGACATGGAATGTCCGCACCATGTACGAGTCTAGCAAAGCTGCCCAGATCGCAAGCGAAATGAGGAGATACGGACTAGAAGTATTGGGGATGTGCCGAAGCAGATGGAACGGAAACGGACTCACCAAATTGTCAAGAGGTGAGTCACTGATTTACTCCGGTCACCCGGAAGACAACCACACACACACCGAGGGCGTGGCTATAATGATGTCACCAACGGCAACCAAGGCTCTGATTTAATGGGAGGCGATCTCATCCAGAATAATGAGCGCCAGATTCAACTCCAAAGGAAGAAAAGTGTCAATTATACAGTGCTATGCAGCCACAAACAACACAGACCTCGAAAAGAAAGAAGAATTCTACAGACAACTACAGGCAGCAATAGACAATACTCCAGCCGGTGACATAAAAATACTAATGGGAGACATGAACGCCAAACTTGGACCAGACAACGCAGGAAGGGAACTCATCATGGCAAAAGAAGCTCTGGGAGAGATGAATGATAACGGAGAACTCTTCGCCGACTTCTGCGCCTTCAATGAACTAGTGATTGGTGGCAGCGTATACAAACACAAGGATATTCACAAGGCTACATGGGTGTCACCAGATGGGCGAACCAAAAACCAAATTGACTTCATCACAATCTCGAGGAAGTGGTGGCGTAGCCTACTGGACACAAAAGCAAGAAGAGGAGCAGACGTTGGCTCAGACCACTACCTCGTACAAGGAACAATCCAACTCAAATTAAAAGCTTTCAGAGAAACAGGAGCTGCAGATAGACCACAAGCCAAGTTCAACACTCAAAAACTAAAGGACCAGGATACAAAGGATATCTTTACTGCAAGTATAAAGGACAAAGCTGAGACACAAATCAACATTAGCGAAGAGGCCAGCGTCGAAAAACACTGGGACAACCTGAAAACAGTATGGAGCGAAACCTGCATGGAAGTTCTGGGCAGAAAGAAGAGACAGGACAAACCGTGGCTCACTACGGACACTTGGAGGCTAATAGAAGAGAGAAGGATGGTGAAACAAAAGATTATCCAGTGCACCGACGAGCAACAGAAACAGGAGTTGAATTCAAGCTACAATACACTGAACAAAGGAGTAAAGAAGAGTGCCAGAGAAGACAAAAGAAAGTATTATGAAGCCATGGCCAATGAAGCAGAACAAGCAGCAGGCAAAGGAGACCTCGCAACACTCTACCAAACAACTAGGTACCTCTCAGGCAAAAATTCGTCACAAATTAAGCCAGTGAAGGATGAAAATGGAAAGTCAATCACCAAAGAAGTGGAGGAAAGGAAACACTTGGCTGAACACTTCAAAAGACTACTAAACCGACCGCCACCTACAACGCGCCCAACAATACCAACAACGGAAGCAGAATTACCAGTGAACACCAACCCCCCGACGAAAACAGAAGTCCTGAAGGCAATCAAGATGCTGAAAGCTGGAAAAGCAGCAGGACCAGATGGAATCCCAACAGAAGCATTGAAAGTGGACCCAGAGACAACAGCAGACTTGATGACGCCACTACTGGAGAAGGTGTGGAAAGAAGGCAAAGTACCCGAGGATTGGAAGAAAGGATACCTATTCGAACTACCAAAGAAAGGAGACCTAAGTCAATGCAAGAACTGGCGCGGAATTATGCTCCTGTCCATTCCAAGCAAAATACTAAGCCGCATCATCCTGGAAAGGATCAGACAAGCCCTGGATGAAAAACTTCGACCAGAACAAGCTGGATTCAGGAGAAACAAGTCATGTATTGATCAAATCGCCACACTACGGATCATCATTGAACAAAGTTTGGAATGGCAGTCACCTCTCTATCTCAACTTCATCGACTTTGAAAAGGCCTTCGACAGCGTCGATCGAGAGGTGATTTGGCAACTACTTCGCTACTACGGGGTGCCGCCGACAATTATACATCTCATCCAACAGCTATACGACAATGCTGCATGCCAAGTAATCCACAACGGGAAACTCACGGAATCCTTCGAAGTGGGGACAGGAGTAAGGCAAGGCTGCCTACTATCGCCAATGATTTTCTTGATTGCAGTAGATTTGATAATGTGACAAACAGCGGACAATGAGGAAACAGGCATAAAATGGACACACACAAAATACTTGGAGGATCTGGACTTCGCCGATGATATATGTCTGATTTCCCACAAACTGGAAGATATGCAAGTGAGAAGTAACAAGTTGGCAGAAGAAGCATCAAAGATAGGACTCCAGGTGAACATAGAGAAAACGGAGGTGATGAAGATCCCTGGCCAACACCAACAACAACAGACAGCAATCAGCATAAATGGAAAGAACCTGAAAGAAACTACCTCCTTTACCTACTTGGGAAGCATTGTTTCAACTACAGGCGGAACTGACGAGGATATCAAAGCAAGGATCGGGAAAGCAAGGCAAGCTTTCATTACTCTCAAGTCTGTGTGGAGGTCAACATCATTCAGCGTCAAAAATAAGATCGGGATTTTCAACTCCAATGTGAAGTTAGTACTACTCTACGGATCAGAGACTTGGCGTGTAACAAAGAGCACCTCAAACAAGCTACAGACCTTCATTAACAGATGTCTTCGCTCAATACTCAAGATCAGATGGCCGGAAAGGATCAGCAACAGAGATCTCTGGGAGCGAACCAACCAGGAACCGATTGTGAAACAAATAGGCAGGAAGAAATGGAGATGGATCGGCCACACTCTGAGGAAACCAGCAAGTGACATCACTAGACAAGCCATTGTTCGAGTGGAACCCGAAAGGGAAGTGACGAGTTGGTCGTCCAAGGGTGACCTGGAGGAGATCATGTGAAGAGGAGATAAAAGCATATGGACAGACCTGGAGCCAGGTGAAAACTCTAGCAGAGAACCGAACGCAATGGAGACGCATGGCTAAAGCCCTATGTTCCTCTAGGAATTAAAGGAAATAATAATAATAATAATTATCAACAGTGGTCCCAGCCATGGGTTCTGAGTATGCTGAGAAAGTCTACACCGCCTTATGTGACTACCTCAAATGAAACGTGAAAGGCTTTATAGATTGATGTGAGGTTTTGGTATGCTGACTCCTGCGTGTTTTGACATCTTGTTTCGAATTTAGTAATAATATACAAGCAATCGGGAAAGAAAAGTGAACTAAAGAAGCCAGCTGATATGTAAGCGGTGAATACGTGTGAAAAGATAATGCTGTGAGCCTTTCCCTGAGTTGATAAATTTGAAGAACGATCTCCTATGAGAGTAAATGTAGCCGAAAAAATCAAAGTTTTCAGGAGAATAAATTGAAGGGAAGAGAGGAGAGCTGGTAGCATCAGATTACAACGCCTCCGAAGAAGAAGAAGGCATTAACCTATCAAAAAAATAGATATACGCATATTGGGATGATGAACACATATATCACGGATAAGAATATGCTCGATTACATAAATATACGATACAACTGAGAGACAAACAAACTCACGAGAAACAGAGGAAGAATCAGACGAGGTGAATCCAAGGGTGGGAAACGCAGACGAGGAGAGAGGTGTAGACGAGGATAACGTGGAGACAGCCGATGTCGAGGAAAGTGTTGGCGAGAGTGATGGTGATGTTGATGTAAGTGATGTTCGAGTTGAGGTTTGTGGTGTTGTGGAGGAGAGTTCTTGTGTGAGGGCTGATGTTTGAGAGGTGGTTGTGTGTGTGGGTGTTGATCCGGTGAATTGTGGAGTGGAGGAGATGTTAGCGATTGCGAGGGGTGATTGTGTTTGAGGAGTGGGTGTTGTAGCATTGAGTGTTGACGTGTGTATTTGAGGAGTTGTGGGTGTTTGTGTTTGTGAAGAGATTGTTGGAGAGGTGGTTGTGTTAGCGGTGACTGGTGTTTCCGTGATCGCTGTTGTAGGTGTGGCTGTGGCTGTAGCTGTGGGTGTGGGTGTTGCAGTGGATATAGGTGTTGGTGTGGGAGTGTCTGTCGGTGATGGTGTGGATGTGAGTATGGGTATTGGTATTGGTGTAGCTGATGCGTTTGTTGTTGGGATTTGTGATGTGGCCGGAGACGTGGGTGACGTGGATGTTGATTGTGGTGATTGTGTTAGCGAGAGTGATGTTGATGTTAGTGATGTTTGAATTGATGTTGGATTGGTGGAGGAGAATTCTGCCGTAGATGTGGTGATGCTTGTTTTGGATGTTTCTGTGATTGGGGTGGCTTCTGTAATGTAAGGAATAATTATTTTTATCTGAGTTTAAATGAGTGTTTAATCCTGCGTGTTTTGAGATTTTTTTAGCTTATTGATTGTGCTTTTGGAGTTATGGATTTGTTATTATTTGGTTTTCGCTTTTCTGCTTATTGGTACTTTTCAGGATTACACAGGAAAATGTTCACCAGGAGTGGTACCAAAGTACTTCAGTTTCCGAGACCAGTAAGTATCCTACTATTCCGCCACTGGGAAGGATCGAATGATCTAATTAATGGTGGATGAATTCTAAGTGTATGTCATACCATCCATCCCCTGTGATCTGTGAAATGCCAGCCGATTTGTTTTTTTTTTTATAAATTATTTGTCATAATTATATAAGAAGTAGAAAGTGAAAAGTTGTAGCACCTTGACTGATTCATATATATATGTGGGATGTTGTATTTCATTAATTTATATAAATGAAGCAAGAAAGTGAGTTGTGTGAGTAGTGGCTTGATATGAGGATTATGAGCAGCAATGATTTGTGCTGGAGAAGTCATGAGTAAATGTTACTTACTTACTGTATAAGAAACAACACTGTGTGTGATTTTATCAAGATGAAATTCTATCCATTACGGAGTGTTGTAGTCTAAGGCATTGACGCTGTTTTTTTTTAATCCTTATATCAAGGATGAGAAAGAAGTTGAAGTATCAAATTAGGAAGAAGGCTGAATTCTCTTTACTACTGATTGACTGAGATATGAGTAGTTGGATAGCAATGACCAATGTCACATGAACCAGGAGTTTTTGTTAAACCCATGGAATTGTGTCTGTCTCACTGTATGACAAAGGTGTTCGTCGGTGATACAGTGGTAGAATGGTGGCTGACGACGCGTCATGTGGTCTGGGCTTGGATTCCCTCCCGGCGACCGACGCACTCGTTTCCACCTGGCTAAGCCAGTAAGTAATAAGGCTGGTGAAGAGGGATGGTTGAGCGTGAGACTAGCAACCCCATCCCGTGGAAATAATAAACACCACTGCTACCGAAGAAACTGCAAGCCTGTAGCTTGAAGGTGCCGTATGTTCTACTGGAAACGAAAAGTATTCAATAAACAAATGACAGAGGTGGCTTACATCAGTAAGGGAGGGAGTGAGAGGGACAGAGCTAATAATGGTTGTATGGGAGAAACAGTTTGAGAAATTATCTATATAAATATATTGCACAGATTATCTCTCGTTCGGTGTGTTTTCATGGGTTGAGATGTGACCTCTATTGATATTATCTACTCTTGTGTGTATTTCAAATGTTGACAAGCTTCTGTTTCTCAAGTTCCTACTAAACTTGAGAAAAGGCCTGATTATGGTTGGCAACGTTTCCCGATGCATAAGATAACTAACTGTTCTTCAGTTCTATCCATGTGTATCTAAAAGTACTTCTGAACATCTTACAATCGGCCTTCAACTAGATATCGTGGATTTCTTGAAGGAGACAAAGCAGATATGTATCATAATGGAATGGTTAGTGTTACAAGTCAGAGACCATTGTGTCACGCACAGGAAGGAGGATATACTGTCAATTAATATTCTACTTGAAGATATTGTATTGAGGGAAAGCGTCATGCAATGAACTGCTCTGAAAATTCTGTCCAGAATAGAGATGTTATTATTATAATAATTATTTAAAGCATTATCAACAGTGGTCCCAGCCATGGGTTCTGAGTATGCTGAGAAAGTCTACACCGCCGTATGTGACTACCTCAAATGAAACGTGAAAGGCTTTATAGATTGATGTGAGGTTTTGGTATGCTGACTCCTGCGTGTTTTGACATCTTGTTTCGAATTTAGTAATAATATACAAGCAATCGGGAAAGAAAAGTGAACTAAAGAAGCCAGCTGATATGTAAGCGGTGAATACGTGTGAAAAGATAATGCTGTGAGCCTTTCCCTGAGTTGATAAATTTCAAGAACGATCTCCTATGAGAGTAAATGTAGCCGAAAAAATCAAAGTTTTCAGGAGAATAAATTGAAGGGAAGAGAGGAGAGCTGGTAGCATCAGATTACAACGCCTCCGAAGAAGAAGAAGGCATTAACCTATCAAAAAAATAGATATACGCATATTGGGATGATGAACACATATATCACGGATAAGAATATGCTCGATTACATAAATATACGATACAACTGAGAGACAAACAAACTCACGAGAAACAGAGGAAGAATCAGACGAGGTGAATCCAAGGGTGGGAAACGCAGACGAGGAGAGAGGTGTAGACGAGGATAACGTGGAGACAGCCGATGTCGAGGAAAGTGTTGGCGAGAGTGATGGTGATGTTGATGTAAGTGATGTTCGAGTTGAGGTTTGTGGTGTTGTGGAGGAGAGTTCTTGTGTGAGGGCTGATGTTTGAGAGGTGGTTGTGTGTGTGGGTGTTGATCCGGTGAATTGTGGAGTGGAGGAGATGTTAGCGATTGCGATGGGGGGTGATTGTGTTTGAGGAGTGGGTGTTGTAGCATTGAGTGTTGACGTGTGTATTTGAGGAGTTGTGGGTGTTTGTGTTTGTGAAGAGATTGTTGGAGAGGTGGTTGTGTTAGCGGTGACTGGTGTTTCCGTGATCGCTGTTGTAGGTGTGGCTGTGGCTGTGGCTGTAGCTGTGGGTGTGGGTGTTGCAGTGGATATAGGTGTTGGTGTGGGAGTGTCTGTCGGTGATGGTGTGGATGTGAGTATGGGTATTGGTATTGGTGTAGCTGATGCGTTTGTTGTTGGGATTTGTGATGTGGCCGGAGACGTGGGTGACGTGGATGTTGATTGTGGTGATTGTGTTAGCGAGAGTGATGTTGATGTTAGTGATGTTTGAATTGATGTTGGATTGGTGGAGGAGAATTCTGCCGTAGATGTGGTGATGCTTGTTTTGGATGTTTCTGTGATTGGGGTGGCTTCTGTAATGTAAGGAATAATTATTTTTATCTGAGTTTAAATGAGTGTTTAATCCTGCGTGTTTTGAGATTTTTTTAGCTTATTGATTGTGCTTTTGGAGTTATGTATTTGTTATTATTTGGTTTTCGCTTTTCTGCTTATTGGTACTTTTCAGGATTACACAGGAAAATGTTCACCAGGAGTGGTACCAAAGTACTTCAGTTTCCGAGACCAGTAAGTAAGTATCCTACTATTCCGCCACTGGGAAGGATCGAATGATCTAATTAATGGTGGATGAATTCTAAGTGTATGTCATACCATCCATCCCCTGTGATCTGTGAAATGCCAGCCGATTTGTTTTTTTTTATAAATTATTTGTCATAATTATATAAGAAGTAGAAAGTGAAAAGTTGTAGCACCTTGACTGATTCATATATATATGTGGGATGTTGTATTTCATTAATTTATATAAATGAAGCAAGAAAGTGAGTTGTGTGAGTAGTGGCTTGATATGAGGATTATGAGCAGCAATGATTTGTGCTGGAGAAGTCATGAGTAAATGTTACTTACTTACTGTATAAGAAACAACACTGTGTGTGATTTTATCAAGATGAAATTCTATCCATTACGGAGTGTTGTAGTCTAAGGCATTGACGCTGTTTTTTTTTAATCCTTATATCAAGGATGAGAAAGAAGTTGAAGTATCAAATTAGGAAGAAGGCTGAATTCTCTTTACTACTGATTGACTGAGATATGAGTAGTTGGATAGCAATGACCAATGTCACATGAACCAGGAGTTTTTGTTAAACCCATGGAATTGTGTCTGTGTCACTGTATGACAAAGGTGTGCGTCGGTGATACAGTGGTAGAATGGTGGCTGACGACGCGTCATGTGGTCTGGGCTTGGATTCCCTCCCGGCGACCGACGCACTCGTTTCCACCTGGCTAAGCCAGTAAGTAATAAGGCTGGTGAAGAGGGATGGTTGAGCGTGAGACTAGCAACCCCATCCCGTGGAAATAATAAACACCACTGCTACCGAAGAAACTGCAAGCCTGTAGCTTGAAGGTGCCGTATGTTCTACTGGAAACGAAAAGTATTCAATAAACAAATGACAGAGGTGGCTTACATCAGTAAGGGAGAGAGCTAATAATGGTTGTATGGGAGAAACAGTTTGAGAAATTATCTATGTATATATTGCACAGATTATCTCTCGTTCGGTGTGTTTTAATGGGTTGAGATGTGACCTCTATTGATATTATCTACTCTTGTGTGTATTTCAAATGTTGACAAGCTTCTGTTTCTCAAGTTCCTACTAAACTTGAGAAAAGGCCTGATTATGGTTGGCAACGTTTCCCGATGCATAAGATAACTAACTGTTCTTCAGTTCTATCCATGTGTATCTAAAAGTACTTCTGAACATCTTACAATCGGCCTTCAACTAGATATCGTGGATTTCTTGAAGGAGACAAAGCAGATATGTATCATAATGGAATGGTTAGTGTTACAAGTCAGAGACCATTGTGTCACGCACAGGAAGGAGGATATACTGTCAATTGATATTCTACTTGAAGATATTGTATTGAGGGAAAGCGTCATGCAATGAACTGCTCTGAAAATTCTGTCCAGAATAGAGATGTTATTATTATAATAATTATTTAAAGCATTATCAACAGTGGTCCCAGCCATGGGTTCTGAGTATGCTGAGAAAGTCTACACCGCCCTATGTGACTACCTCAAATGAAACGTGAAAGGCTTTATAGATTGATGTGAGGTTTTGGTATGCTGACTCCTGCGTGTTTTGACATCTTGTTTCGAATTTAGTAATAATATACAAGCAATCGGGAAAGAAAAGTGAACTAAAGAAGCCAGCTGATATGTAAGCGGTGAATACGTGTGAAAACATAATGCTGTGAGCCTTTCCCTGAGTTGATAAATTTGAAGAACGATCTCCTATGAGAGTAAATGTAGCCGAAAAAATCAAAGTTTTCAGGAGAATAAATTGAAGGGAAGAGAGGAGAGCTGGTAGCATCAGATTACAACGCCTCCGAAGAAGAAGAAGGCATTAACCTATCAAAAAAATAGATATACGCATATTGGGATGATGAACACATATATCACGGATAAGAATATGCTCGATTACATAAATATACGATACAACTGAGAGACAAACAAACTCACGAGAAACAGAGGAAGAATCAGACGAGGTGAATCCAAGGGTGGGAAACGCAGACGAGGAGAGAGGTGTAGACGAGGATAACGTGGAGACAGCCGATGTCGAGGAAAGTGTTGGCGAGAGTGATGGTGATGTTGATGTAAGTGATGTTCGAGTTGAGGTTTGTGGTGTTGTGGAGGAGAGTTCTTGTGTGAGGGCTGATGTTTGAGAGGTGGTTGTGTGTGTGGGTGTTGATCCGGTGAATTGTGGAGTGGAGGAGATGTTAGCGATTGCGATGGGGGGTGATTGTGTTTGAGGAGTGGGTGTTGTAGCATTGAGTGTTGACGTGTGTATTTGAGGAGTTGTGGGTGTTTGTGTTTGTGAAGAGATTGTTGGAGAGGTGGTTGTGTTAGCGGTGACTGGTGTTTCCGTGATCGCTGTTGTAGGTGTGGCTGTGGCTGTGCTGTGGCTGTAGCTGTGGGTGTGGGTGTTGCAGTGGATATAGGTGTTGGTGTGGGAGTGGCTGTCGGTGATGGTGTGGATGTGAGTATGGGTATTGGTATTGGTGTAGCTGATGCGTTTGTTGTTGGGATTTGTGATGTGGCCGGAGACGTGGGTGACGTGGATGTTGATTGTGGTGATTGTGTTAGCGAGAGTGATGTTGATGTTAGTGATGTTTGAATTGATGTTGGATTGGTGGAGGAGAATTCTGCCGTAGATGTGGTGATGCTTGTTTTGGATGTTTCTGTGATTGGGGTGGCTTCTGTAATGTAAGGAATAATTATTTTTATCTGAGTTTAAATGAGTGTTTAATCCTGCGTGTTTTGAGATTTTTTTAGCTTATTGATTGTGCTTTTGGAGTTATGTATTTGTTATTATTTGGTTTTCGCTTTTCTGCTTATTGGTACTTTTCAGGATTACACAGGAAAATGTTCACCAGGAGTGGTACCAAAGTACTTCAGTTTCCGAGACCAGTAAGTAAGTATCCTACTATTCCGCCACTGGGAAGGATCGAATGATCTAATTAATGGTGGATGAATTCTAAGTGTATGTCATACCATCCATCCCCTGTGATCTGTGAAATGCCAGCCGATTTGTTTTTTTTTTTATAAATTATTTGTCATAATTATATAAGAAGTAGAAAGTGAAAAGTTGTAGCACCTTGACTGATTCATATATATGTGGGATGTTGTATTTCATTAATTTATATAAATGAAGCAAGAAAGTGAGTTGTGTGAGTAGTGGCTTGATATGAGGATTATGAGCAGCAATGATTTGTGCTGGAGAAGTCATGAGTAAATGTTACTTACTTACTGTATAAGAAACAACACTGTGTGTGATTTTATCAAGATGAAATTCTATCCATTACGGAGTGTTGTAGTCTAAGGCATTGACGCTGTTTTTTTTTAATCCTTATATCAAGGATGAGAAAGAAGTTGAAGTATCAAATTAGGAAGAAGGCTGAATTCTCTTTACTACTGATTGACTGAGATATGAGTAGTTGGATAGCAATGACCAATGTCACATGAACCAGGAGTTTTTGTTAAACCCATGGAATTGTGTCTGTCTCACTGTATGACAAAGGTGTTCGTCGGTGATACAGTGGTAGAATGGTGGCTGACGACGCGTCATGTGGTCTGGGCTTGGATTCCCTCCCGGCGACCGACGCACTCGTTTCCACCTGGCTAAGCCAGTAAGTAATAAGGCTGGTGAAGAGGGATGGTTGAGCGTGAGACTAGCAACCCCATCCCGTGGAAATAATAAACACCACTGCTACCGAAGAAACTGCAAGCCTGTAGCTTGAAGGTGCCGTATGTTCTACTGGAAACGAAAAGTATTCAATAAACAAATGACAGAGGTGGCTTACATCAGTAAGGGAGGGAGAGAGGGACAGAGCTAATAATGGTTGTATGTGAGAAACAGTTTGAGAAATTATCTATATAAATATATTGCACAGATTATCTCTCGTTCGGTGTGTTTTCATGGGTTGAGATGTGACCTCTATTGATATTATCTACTCTTGTGTGTATTTCAAATGTTGACAAGCTTCTGTTTCTCAAGTTCCTACTAAACTTGAGAAAAGGCCTGATTATGGTTGGCAACGTTTCCCGATGCATAAGATAACTAACTGTTCTTCAGTTCTATCCATGTGTATCTAAAAGTACTTGTGAACATCTTACAATCGGCCTTCAACTAGATATCGTGGATTTCTTGAAGGAGACAAAGCAGATATGTATCATAATGGAATGGTTAGTGTTACAAGTCAGAGACCATTGTGTCACGCACAGGAAGGAGGATATACTGTCAATTAATATTCTACTTGAAGATATTGTATTGAGGGAAAGCGTCATGCAATGAACTGCTCTGAAAATTCTGTCCAGAATAGAGATGTTATTATTATAATAATTATTTAAAGCATTAAAGCAGGCGTGAGGCCTGCAACCCCACCCTGTAAACAAACCTGCTACAGAAACTTCAGCATGAACAATCTCCCTGCGTCAAAAGAAAAGGTCTGTGTGGGGACATGGAATGTCCGCACCATGTACGAGTCTAGCAAAGCTGCCCAGATCGCAAGCGAAATGAGGAGATACGGACTAGAAGTATTGGGGATGTGCCGAAGCAGATGGAACGGAAACGGACTCACCAAATTGTCAAGAGGTGAGTCACTGATTTACTCCGGTCACCCGGAAGACAACCACACACACACCGAGGGCGTGGCTATAATGATGTCACCAACGGCAACCAAGGCTCTGATTTAATGGGAGGCGATCTCATCCAGAATAATGAGCGCCAGATTCAACTCCAAAGGAAGAAAAGTGTCAATTATACAGTGCTATGCAGCCACAAACAACGCAGACCTCGAAAAGAAAGAAGAATTCTACAGACAACTACAGGCAGCAATAGACAATACTCCAGCCGGTGACATAAAAATACTAATGGGAGACATGAACGCCAAACTTGGACCAGACAACGCAGGAAGGGAACTCATCATGGCAAAAGAAGCTCTGGGAGAGATGAATGAAAACGGAGAACTCTTCGCCGACTTCTGCGCCTTCAATGAACTAGTGATTGGTGGCAGCGTATACAAACACAAGGATATTCACAAGGCTACATGGGTGTCACCAGATGGGCGAACCAAAAACCAAATTGACTTCATCACAATCTCGAGGAAGTGGTGGCGCAGCCTACTGGACACAAAAGCAAGAAGAGGAGCAGACGTTGGCTCAGACCACTACCTCGTACAAGGAACAATCCAACTCAAATTAAAAGCTTTCAGAGAAACAGGAGCTGCAGATAGACCACAAGCCAAGTTCAACACTCAAAAACTAAAGGACCAGGATACAAAGGATATCTTTACTGCAAGTATAAAGGACAAAGCTGAGACACAAATCAACATTAGCGAAGAGGCCAGCGTCGAAAAACACTGGGACAACCTGAAAACAGTATGGAGCGAAACCTGCATGGAAGTTCTGGGCAGAAAGAAGAGACAGGACAAACCGTGGCTCACTACGGACACTTGGAGGCTAATAGAAGAGAGAAGGATGGTGAAACAAAAGATTATCCAGTGCACCGACGAGCAACAGAAACAGGAGTTGAATTCAAGCTACAATACACTGAACAAAGGAGTAAAGAAGAGTGCCAGAGAAGACAAAAGAAAGTATTATGAAGCCATGGCCAATGAAGCAGAACAAGCAGCAGGCAAAGGAGACCTCGCAACACTCTACCAAACAACTAGGTACCTCTCAGGCAAAAATTCGTCACAAATTAAGCCAGTGAAGGATGAAAATGGAAAGTCAATCACCAAAGAAGTGGAGGAAAGGAAACACTTGGCTGAACACTTCAAAAGACTACTAAACCGACCGCCACCTACAACGCGCCCAACAATACCAACAACGGAAGCAGAATTACCAGTGAACACCAACCCCCCGACGAAAACAGAAGTCCTGAAGGCAATCAAGATGCTGAAAGCTGGAAAAGCAGCAGGACCAGATGGAATGCCAACAGAAGCATTGAAAGTGGACCCAGAGACAACAGCGGACTTGATGACGCCACTACTAGAGAAGGTGTGGAAAGAAGGCAAAGTACCCGAGGATTGGAAGAAAGGATACCTATTCAAACTACCAAAGAAAGGAGACTTAAGTCAATGTAAGAACTGGCGCGGAATTATGCTCCTGTCCATTCCAAGCAAAATACTAAGCCGCATCATCCTGGAAAGGATCAGACAAGCCCTGGATGAAAAACTTCGACCAGAACAAGCTGGATTCAGGAGAAACAAGTCATGTATTGATCAAATCGCCACACTACGGATCATCATTGAACAAAGTTTGGAATGGCAGTCACCTCTCTATCTCAACTTCATCGACTTTGAAAAGGCCTTCGACAGCGTCGATCGAGAGGTGATTTGGTAACTACTTCGCTACTACGGGGTGCCGCCGACAATTATACATCTCATCCAACAGCTATACGACAATGCTGCATGCCAAGTAATCCACAACGGGGAACTCACGGAATCCTTCGAAGTGGGGACAGGAGTAAGGCAAGGCTGCCTACTATCGCCAATGATTTTCTTGATTGCAGTAGATTTGATAATGTGACAAACAGCGGACAATGAGGAAACAGGCATAAAATGGACACACACAAAATACTTGGAGGATCTGGACTTCGCCGATGATATATGTCAGATTTCCCACAAACTGGAAGATATGCAAGTGAGAAGTAACAAGTTGGCAGAAGAAGCATCATAGATAGGACTCAGGTGAACATAGAGAAAACGGAGGTGATGAAGATCCCTGGCCAACACCAACAACAACAGACAGCAATCAGCATAAATGGAAAGAACCTGAAAGAAACTACCTCCTTTACCTACTTGGGAAGCATTGTTTCAACTACAGGCGGAACTGACGAGGATATCAAAGCAAGGATCGGGAAAGCAAGGCAAGCTTTCATTACTCTCAAGTCTGTGTGGAGGTCAACATCATTCAGCGTCAAAAATAAGATCGGGATTTTCAACTCCAATGTGAAGTTAGTACTACTCTACGGATCAGAGACTTGGCGTGTAAGAAAGAGCACCTCAAACAAGCTACAGACCTTCATTAACAGATGTCTTCGCTCAATACTCAAGATCAGATGGCCGGAAAGGATCAGCAACAGAGATCTCTGAGAGCGAACCAACCAGGAACCGATTGTGAAACAAATAGGCAGGAAGAAATGGAGATGGATCGGCCACACTCTGAGGAAACCAGCAAGTGACATCACTAGACAAGCCATTGTTCGAGTGGAACCCGAAAGGGAAGTGACGAGTTGGTCGTCCAAGGGTGACCTGGAGGAGATCATGTGAAGAGGAGATAAAAGCATATGGACAGACCTGGAGCCAGGTGAAAACTCTACCAGACAACCGAACGCAATGGAGACGCATGGCTAAAGCCCTATGTTCCTCTAGGAATTAAAGGAAATAATAATAATAATAATTATCAACAGTGGTCCCAGCCATGGGTTCTGAGTATGCTGAGAAAGTCTACACCGCCGTATGTGACTACCTCAAATGAAACGTGAAAGGCTTTATAGATTGATGTGAGGTTTTGGTATGCTGACTCCTGCGTGTTTTGACATCTTGTTTCGAATTTAGTAATAATATACAAGCAATCGGGAAAGAAAAGTGAACTAAAGAAGCCAGCTGATATGTAAGCGGTGAATACGTGTGAAAAGATAATGCTGTGAGCCTTTCCCTGAGTTGATAAATTTCAAGAACGATCTCCTATGAGAGTAAATGTAGCCGAAAAAATCAAAGTTTTCAGGAGAATAAATTGAAGGGAAGAGAGAGGAGAGCTGGTAGCATCAGATTACAACGCCTCCGAAGAAGAAGAAGGCATTAACCTATCAAAAAAATAGGTATACGCATATTGGGATGATGAACACATATATCAGGGATAAGAATATGCTCGATTACATAAATATACGATACAACTGAGAGACAAACAAACTCACGAGAAACAGAGGAAGAATCAGACGAGGTGAATCCAAGGGTGGTGAACGCAGACGAGGAGAGAGGTGTAGACGAGGATAACGTGGAGACAGCCGATGTCGAGGAAAGTGTTGGCGAGAGTGATGGTGATGTTGATGTAAGTGATGTTCGAGTTGAGGTTTGTGGTGTTGTGGAGGAGAGTTCTTGTGTGAGGGCTGATGTTTGAGAGGTGGTTGTGTGTGTGGGTGTTGATCCGGTGAATTGTGGAGTGGAGGAGATGTTAGCGATTGCGATGGGGGGTGATTGTGTTTGAGGAGTGGGTGTTGTAGCATTGAGTGTTGACGTGTGTATTTGAGGAGTTGTGGGTGTTTGTGTTTGTGAAGAGATTGTTGGAGAGGTGGTTGTGTTAGCGGTGACTGGTGTTTCCGTGATCGCTGTTGTAGGTGTGGCTGTGGCTGTGACTGTGGCTGTAGCTGTGGGTGTGGGTGTTGCAGTGGATATAGGTGTTGGTGTGGGAGTGGCTGTCGGTGATGGTGTGGATGTGAGTATGGGTATTGGTATTGGTGTAGCTGATGCGTTTGTTGTTGGGATTTGTGATGTGGCCGGAGACGTGGGTGACGTGGATGTTGATTGTGGTGATTGTGTTAGCGAGAGTGATGTTGATGTTAGTGATGTTTGAATTGATGTTGGATTGGTGGAGGAGAATTCTGCCGTAGATGTGGTGATGCTTGTTTTGGATGTTTCTGTGATTGGGGTGGCTTCTGTAATGTAAGGAATAATTATTTTTATCTGAGTTTAAATGAGTGTTTAATCCTGCGTGTTTTGAGATTTTTTTAGCTTATTGATTGTACTTTTGGAGTTATGTATTTGTTATTATTTGGTTTTCGCTTTTCTGCTTATTGGTACTTTTCAGGATTACGCAGGAAAATGTTCACCAGGAATGGTACCAAAGTACTTCAGTTTCCGAGACCAGTAAGTAAGTATCCTACTATTCCGCCACTGGGAAGGATCGAATGATCCAACTAATGGTGGATGAATTCTAAGTGTATGTCATACCACCATCCATCCCCTGTGATCTGTGAAATGCCAGCCGATTTGTTTTTTTTTTATAAATTATTTGTCATAATTATATAAGAAGTAGAAAGTGAAAAGTTGTAGCACCTTGACTGATTCATATATATGTGGGATGTTGTATTTCATTAATTTATATAAATGAAGCGAGAAAGTGAGTTGTGTGAGTAGTGGCTTGATATGAGGATTATGAGCAGCAATGATTTGTGCTGGAGAAGTCATGAGTAAATGTTACTTACTTACTGTATAAGAAACAACACTGTGTGTGATTTTATCGAGATGAAATTCTATCCATTACGGAGTGTTGTAGTCTAAGGCATTGACACTGTTTTTTTTAATCCGTATATCAAGGATGAGAAAGAAGTTGAAGTATCAAATTAGGAAGAAGGCTGAATTCTCTTTACTACTGATTGACTGAGATATGAGTAGTTGGATAGCAATGACCAATGTCACATGAACCAGGAGTTTTTGTTAAACCCATGGAATTGTGTCTGTCTCACTGTATGACAAAGGTGTTCGTCGGTGATACAGTGGTAGAATGGTGGCTGACGACGCGTCATGTGGTCTGGGCTTGGATTCCCTCCCGGCGACCGACGCACTCGTTTCCACCTGGCTAAGCCAGTAAGTAATAAGGCTGGTGAAGAGGGATGGTTGAGCGTGAGACTAGCAACCCCATCCCGTGGAAATAATAAACACCACTGCTACCGAAGAAACTGCAAGCCTGTAGCTTGAAGGTGCCGTATGTTCTACTGGAAACGAAAAGTATTCAATAAACAAATGACAGAGGTGGCTTACATCAGTAAGGGAGGGAGTGAGAGGGACAGAGCTAATAATGGTTGTATGTGAGAAACAGTTTGAGAAATTATCTATATAAATATATTGCACAGATTATCTCTCGTTCGGTGTGTTTTAATGGGTTGAGATGTGACCTCTATTGATATTATCTACTCTTGTGTGTATTTCAAATGTTGACAAGCTTCTGTTTCTCAAGTTCCTACTAAACTTGAGAAAAGGCCTGATTATGGTTGGCAACGTTTCCCGATGCATAAGATAACTAACTGTTCTTCAGTTCTATCCATGTGTATCTAAAAGTACTTGTGAACATCTTACAATCGGCCTTCAACTAGATATCATGGATTTCTTGAAGGAGACAAATCAGATATGTATCATCATGGAATGGTTAGTGTTACAAGTCAGAGACCATTGTGTCACGCACAGGAAGCAGGATATACTGTCAATTGATATTCTACTTGAAGATATTGTATTGAGGGAAAGCGTCATGCAATGAACTGCTCTGAAAATTCTGTCCAGAATAGAGATGTTATTATTATAATAATTATTTAAAGCATTATCAACAGTGGTCGCCAGCCATGGGTTCTGAGTATGCTGAGAAAGTCTACACCGCCTTATGTGACTACGTCAAATGAAACGTGAAAGGCTTTATAGATTGATGTGAGGTTTTGGTATGCTGACTCCTGCGTGTTTTGACATCTTGTTTCGAATTTAGTAATAATATACAAGCAATCGGGAAAGAAAAGTGAACTAAAGAAGCCAGCTGATATGTAAGCGGTGAATACGTGTGAAAAGATAATGCTGTGAGCCTTTCCCTGAGTTGATAAATTTCAAGAACGATCTCCTATGAGAGTAAATGTAGCCGAAAAAATCAAAGTTTTCAGGAGAATAAATTGAAGGGAAGAGAGAGGAGAGCTGGTAGCATCAGATTACAACGCCTCCGAAGAAGAAGAAGGCATTGACCTATCAAAAAAATAGGTATACGCATATTGGGATGATGAACACATATATCAGGGATAAGAATATGCTCGATTACATAAATATACGATACAACTGAGAGACAAACAAACTCACGAGAAACAGAGGTAGAATCAGACGAGGTGAATCCCAGGGTGGTGAACGCAGACGAGGAGAGAGGTGTAGACGAGGATAACGTGGAGACAGCCGATGTCGAGGAAAGTGTTGGCGAGAGTGATGGTGATGTTGATGTAAGTGATGTTCGAGTTGAGGTTTGTGGTGTTGTGGAGGAGAGTTCTTGTGTGAGGGCTGATGTTTGAGAGGTGGTTGTGTGTGTGGGTGTTGATCCGGTGAATTGTGGAGTGGAGGAGATGTTAGCGATTGCGATGGGGGGTGATTGTGTTTGAGGAGTGGGTGTTGTAGCATTGAGTGTTGACGTGTGTATTTGAGGAGTTGTGGGTGTTTGTGTTTGTGAAGAGATTGTTGGAGAGGTGGTTGTGTTAGCGGTGACTGGTGTTTCCTTGATCGCTGTTGTAGGTGTGGCTGTGGCTGTGACTGTGGCTGTAGCTGTGGGTGTGGGTGTTGCAGTGGATATAGGTGTTGGTGTGGGAGTGGCTGTCGGTGATGGTGTGGATGTGAGTATGGGTATTGGTATTGGTGTAGCTGATGCGTTTGTTGTTGGGATTTGTGATGTGGCCGGAGACGTGGGTGACGTGGATGTTGATTGTGGTGATTGTGTTAGCGAGAGTGATGTTGATGTTAGTGATGTTTGAATTGATGTTGGATTGGTGGAGGAGAATTCTGCCGTAGATGTGGTGATGCTTGTTTTGGATGTTTCTGTGATTGGGGTGGCTTCTGTAATGTAAGGAATAATTATTTTTATCTGAGTTTAAATGAGTGTTTAATCCTGCGTGTTTTGAGATTTTTTTAGCTTATTGATTGTGCTTTTGGAGTTATGTATTTGTTATTATTTGGTTTTCGCTTTTCTGCTTATTGGTACTTTTCAGGATTACGCAGGAAAATGTTCACCAGGAATGGTACCAAAGTACTTCAGTTTCCGAGACCAGTAAGTAAGTATCCTACTATTCCGCCACTGGGAAGGATCGAATGATCCAACTAATGGTGGATGAATTCTAAGTGTATGTCATACCACCATCCATCCCCTGTGATCTGTGAAATGCCAGCCGATTTGTTTTTTTTTTATAAATTATTTGTCATAATTATATAAGAAGTAGAAAGTGAAAAGTTGGAGCACCTTGACTGATTCATATATATGTGGGATGTTGTATTTCATTAATTTATATAAATGAAGCGAGAAAGTGAGTTGTGTGAGTAGTGGCTTGATATGAGGATTATGAGCAGCAATGATTTGTGCTGGAGAAGTCATGAGTAAATGTTACTTACTTACTGTATAACAAACAACACTGTGTGTGATTTTATCAAAATGAAATTCTATCCATTACGGAGTGTTGTAGTCTAAGGCATTGACGCTGTTTTTTTTTAATCCTTATATCAAGGATGAGAAAGAAGTTGAAGTATCAAATTAGGAAGAAGGCTGAATTCTCTTTACTACTGATTGACTGAGATATGAGTAGTTGGATAGCAATGACCAATGTCACATGAAGCAGGAGTTTTTGTTAAACCCATGGAATTGTGTCTGTCTCACTGTATGACAAAGGTGTTCGTCGGTGATACAGTGGTAGAATGGTGTCTGACGACGCGTCATGTGGTCTCGGCTTGGATTCCCTCCCGGCGACCGACGCACTCGTTTCCACCTGGCTAAGCCAGTAAGTAATAAGGCTGGTGAAGAGGGATGGTTGAGCGTGAGACTAGCAACCCCTTCCCGTGGAAATAATAAACACCACTGCTACCGAAGAAACTGCAAGCCTGTAGCTTGAAGGTGCCGTATGTTCTACTGGAAACGAAAAGTATTCAATAAACAAATGACAGAGGTGGCTTACATCAGTAAGTGAGGGAGTGAGAGGGACAGAGCCAATAATGGTTGTATGTGAGAAACAGTTTGAGAAATTATCTATATAAATATATTGCACAGATTATCTCTCGTTCGGTGTGTTTTAATGGGTTGAGATGTGACCTCTATTGATATTATCTACTCTTGTGTGTATTTCAAATGTTGACAAGCTTCTGTTTCGCTTGTGATTGTTGAATAGCTTTCTGATATTAGCGTTGGTTTTTTTTGTTGCTGTTATTCTCTAATAGCTTTCTTAGGCAGGTTAATTGGCCATTCGATTTGGTGCCACGCTTGTTATAGGCAGTGATGAGTTCATGTGTTTTGTTTTCATTACTGTTGTCAGTCATGGTGCTTTTGGCGAGATTGGTTCTGGTGCTTATGTGAAGCCTATGTCGGTGTTATGGATGGTTAGGAAGACGAGGAGGATACAGATATTGGTACTGATGACACTGTTGGTGTTGTCAGTGTTAATGGTGATGATGAATTGTTTGATTGTGTTTGTGTAGCTGCAGATATTTCAGTTGACGGTGTTTGTGATTGTGTTTTGGTTGTGGATGTAGGCGTTACCGGTGATTGTGTATTTGTTACAGTCAGGAACTGAATGATGGAGTATTCGCTTGCGGTTGTATCTGGTGTTTGAGGTGTTGTTGCGCTGATTGTCATGATTTGTATTTGTGAAGTTGCTTGTGTTTGTGGCAGTGTTTTTACGGATGTGATGGTTGTTGTGTGCGTAGCTACTATCAGTGTTGAGATTGTTGAAGTAGGATTAATGGTCGTCTGATTTTGCCTTGTGGTTATGATAGGCAACTACGAGTCGGTGAGTTTTGTTGCCGTCGTCATTGTCTCCATTGTCGGTGCTGGTGATGATACTGTTAAGAATGCTGAGGTTGACGTTGCCGATATCGGTAGTGATGATGGCATTGCTGTTTGCGTGATGGGTATTTGTTGCGTAGGCTTTGAATCAGTTTGTTGGGAGGCTAAGAATGTGTTTGTGATTGAGTCTGATGACGATGATGATTTGAGGCGTTGTCACACTGATTGTTGTAGCTTGTATTTGTTGTGGAGTTGTTTGTCTTTCTGGCATTGCTGTTGTGGATGTTGTTGTAGGCATGATGGTTTTTGACAGCATAGTTGCTGTTACAGTTGTTGTCATGATAGCCTGCTTTGTGCTTGTTATTTTTCTTTCTATGGTGTGGATATTTTAAATTGATTTCATTTTGTTCAATGATTCTTTCTTGGCATGTATACATACATATCTAAGTGTGCATTCACATGTTCACACATTAGTTGGTTGGTGGTTTTTGGTTACCGGCTAAATCGCTTCTTTTGTGATTTAGTCACCTTATCCTATTTATACATACTTTTGCCTTGCTCTTTTTATTATTATTATTATATTATTTTGACTTAACAATACAGATTATTTTTTAATTTTTCGTTTTACTGTTTCCCTTCTAGACATTTGATGGAGAAACGTTTCACCCTGAAGGTTTACTTATCTGATAAATGTCTGAATGAAGTTTTAAGTCTGCGGGTAATTTACATTTTTTGGTGATTATACTACTTTTTTAAGTAAGTTTTCAAATTTCAATAGCAGTGATGTTTATTTTTCTACCGATGCGAGGGGTGGGGGCTGGCAGTAGAGTTGCTAGTTTCACACCCAACCTTCTCTCTGTTCAGAGCAACACTACTAACTAGGTCAGCTTCAGCAGCTCCTTTTTACAGGGAATCGAACTCGGACAAGCTTCCTACTCTTGAACCCACTAATGACACTATTCATTATTTACAAATATTTGTCAAATACTAGTGTTTTCTAAGTTAATTTGATACAAATAAAAAGTAGATGTAGAACTCGGAATATCTCTAATGACTACTTAATGTTTACAAAACTAGTGGATCACTGGGACGATTAGTTGAACATCTTATCACATCAACCATCACTACCTCCTGGCCAGACCATACTGTGTGCATATTCGATGTAGGATCAGTATAACCGATCAGACATGAAATAATTTCAGTTAATTATTATGATTTTAAGTTCCCTTGCCATTGAGTGGTGCATACTTCTAGAATGAAATCAAGTTCTACGCGTCCTGGAACACGAGGAGTTAGTCGGTGTAAGCCGAAGAAAGAGAAGATAAATTCACTGAAGAGAATGAGTGAGAACGCGAAGACCACAAAAAGAATTAGATTACCTTTAAGATGCATCGAAAAGATTCAGCTACATATGATGCAATCGAAGTAGAGATGCAAGTGAAATAGATTGATTCCTTTTTTTCAGCAAATTGTATGCAATGAAGGTTAAGTAAGGTTAATTAAATGTAATTCATTAATGTAGAAAATATTCGAAGTAGACACCTGAAATTAAGCATCGCATATATAACTTAGCGATGAACTCATCACTGCATAGACGGAAAATTCATAAATTGAAAACATAAAAAAAATCAAAAAAACAAATCATCACATTGATAAAAAAATAACCACAACATACCTGAGGATGATATATTCGACGGAAATGAGGAAGCGATAGACACTGAGGAGAGAATGACGGAAGGCGAGGTAGATATTGATGTTGGTGTAGATTGTGTAGATAGTGTAGATAGTGTTGATATGGTAGTTGGTGTTATTGTTGTTTGTGTTGTGTCCGTCGGTGTACTACTGGATGTGAATGAAGTGGTTGGTGTTGGTGTGAGTGTGGTGACAGTGACGGGAGGTGATGTTGATATTGATGTTGGTGTAGATAGTGTAGATAGTGTTGATATGGTAGTTGGTGTTATTGTTGTTTGTGTTGTGTCCGTCGGTGTACTACTGGATGTGAATGAAGTGGTTGGTGTTGGTGTGAGTGTGGTGACAGTGACGGGAGGTGATGTTGATATTGATGTTGGTGTAGATTGTGTAGATAGTGTAGATAGTGTTGATATGGTAGTTGGTGTTATTGTTGTTTGTGTTGTGTCCGTCGGTGTACTACTGGATGTGAATGAAGTGGTTGGTGTTGGTGTGAGTGTGGTGACAGTGACGGGAGGTGATGTTGATATTGATGTTGGTGTAGATTGTGTAGATAGTGTAGATAGTGTTGATATGGTAGTTGGTGTTATTGTTGTTTGTGTTGTGTCCGTCGGTGTACTACTGGATGTGAATGAAGTGGTTGGTGTTGGTGTGAGTGTGGTGACAGTGACGGGAGGTGATGTTGATATTGATGTTGGTGTAGATTGTGTAGATAGTGTAGATAGTGTTGATATGGTAGTTGGTGTTATTGTTGTTTGTGTTGTGTCCGTCGGTGTACTACTGGATGTGAATGAAGTGGTTGGTGTTGGTGTGAGTGTGGTGACAGTGACGGGAGGTGATGTTGATATTGATGTTGGTGTAGATTGTGTAGATAGTGTTGATATGGTAGTTGGTGTTATTGTTGTTTGTGTTGTGTCCGTCGGTGTACTACTGGATGTGAATGAAGTGGTTGGTGTTGGTGTGAGTGTGGTGACAGTGACGGGAGGTGATGTTGATATTGATGTTGGTGTAGATTGTGTAGATAGTGTAGATAGTGTTGATATGGTAGTTGGTGTTATTGTTGTTTGTGTTGTGTCCGTCGGTGTACTACTGGATGTGAATGAAGTGGTTGGTGTTGGTGTGAGTGTGGTGACAGTGACGGGAGGTGATGTTGATATTGATGTTGGTGTAGATTGTGTAGATAGTGTAGATAGTGTTGATATGGTAGTTGGTGTTGTTGTTGTTTGTGTTGTGTCCGTCGGTGTACTACTGGATGTGAATGAAGTGGTTGGTGTTGGTGTGAGTGTGGTGACAGTGACGGGAGGTGATGTTGATATTGATGTTGGTGTAGATTGTGTAGATAGTGTAGATAGTGTTGATATGGTAGTTGGTGTTATTGTTGTTTGTGTTGTTTCCGTCGGTGTACTACTGGATGTGAATGAAGTGGTTGGTGTTGGTGTGAGTGTGGTGACAGTGACGGGAGGTGATGTTGATATTGATGTTGGTGTAGATTGTGTAGATAGTGTAGATAGTGTTGATATGGTAGTTGGTGTTATTGTTGTTTGTGTTGTGTCCGTCGGTGTACTACTGGATGTGAATGAAGTGGTTGGTGTTGGTGTGAGTGTGGTGACAGTGACGGGAGGTGATGTTGATATTGATGTTGGTGTAGATTGTGTAGATAGTGTAGATAGTGTTGATATGGTAGTTGGTGTTATTGTTGTTTGTGTTGTGTCCGTCGGTGTACTACTGGATGTGAATGAAGTGGTTGGTGTTGGTGTGAGTGTGGTGACAGTGACGGGAGGTGATGTTGATATTGATGTTGGTGTAGATTGTGTAGATAGTGTAGATAGTGTTGATATGGTAGTTGGTGTTATTGTTGTTTGTGTTGTGTCCGTCGGTGTACTACTGGATGTGAATGAAGTGGTTGGTGTTGGTGTGAGTGTGGTGACAGTGACGGGAGGTGATGTTGATATTGATGTTGGTGTAGATTGTGTAGATAGTGTAGATAGTGTTGATATGGTAGTTGGTGTTATTGTTGTTTGTGTTGTGTCCGTCGGTGTACTACTGGATGTGAATGAAGTGGTTGGTGTTGGTGTGAGTGTGGTGACAGTGACGGGAGGTGATGTTGATATTGATGTTGGTGTAGATTGTGTAGATAGTGTAGATAGTGTTGATATGGTAGTTGGTGTTATTGTTGTTTGTGTTGTGTCCGTCGGTGTACTACTGGATGTGAATGAAGTGGTTGGTGTTGGTGTGAGTGTGGTGACAGTGACGGGAGGTGATGTTGATATTGATGTTGGTGTAGATTGTGTAGATAGTGTAGATAGTGTTGATATGGTAGTTGGTGTTATTGTTGTTTGTGTTGTGTCCGTCGGTGTACTACTGGATGTGAATGAAGTGGTTGGTGTTGGTGTGAGTGTGGTGACAGTGACGGGAGGTGATGTTGATATTGATGTTGGTGTAGATTGTGTAGATAGTGTAGATAGTGTTGATATGGTAGTTGGTGTTATTGTTGTTTGTGTTGTGTCCGTCGGTGTACTACTGGATGTGAATGAAGTGGTTGGTGTTGGTGTGAGTGTGGTGACAGTGACGGGAGGTGATGTTGATATTGATGTTGGTGTAGATTGTGTAGATAGTGTAGATAGTGTTGATATGGTAGTTGGTGTTATTGTTGTTTGTGTTGTGTCCGTCGGTGTACTACTGGATGTGAATGAAGTGGTTGGTGTTGGTGTGAGTGTGGTGACAGTGACGGGAGGTGATGTTGATATTGATGTTGGTGTAGATTGTGTAGATAGTGTTGATATGGTAGTTGGTGTTATTGTTGTTTGTGTTGTGTCCGTCGGTGTACTACTGGATGTGAATGAAGTGGTTGGTGTTGGTGTGAGTGTGGTGACAGTGACGGGAGGTGATGTTGATATTGATGTTGGTGTAGATTGTGTAGATAGTGTAGATAGTGTTGATATGGTAGTTGGTGTTATTGTTGTTTGTGTTGTGTCCGTCGGTGTACTACTGGATGTGAATGAAGTGGTTGGTGTTGGTGTGAGTGTGGTGACAGTGACGGGAGGTGATGTTGATATTGATGTTGGTGTAGATTGTGTAGATAGTGTAGATAGTGTTGATATGGTAGTTGGTGTTATTGTTGTTTGTGTTGTGTCCGTCGGTGTACTACTGGATGTGAATGAAGTGGTTGGTGTTGGTGTGAGTGTGGTGACAGTGACGGGAGGTGATGTTGATATTGATGTTGGTGTAGATTGTGTAGATAGTGTAGATAGTGTTGATATGGTAGTTGGTGTTATTGTTGTTTGTGTTGTGTCCGTCGGTGTACTACTGGATGTGAACGAAGTGGTTGGTGTTGGTGTGAGTGTGGTGACAGTGACGGGAGGTGATGTTGATATTGATGTTGGTGTAGATTGTGTAGATAGTGTAGATAGTGTTGATATGGTAGTTGGTGTTATTGTTGTTTGTGTTGTGTCCGTCGGTGTACTACTGGATGTGAATGAAGTGGTTGGTGTTGGTGTGAGTGTGGTGACAGTGACGGGAGGTGATGTTGATATTGATGTTGGTGTAGATTGTGTAGATAGTGTAGATAGTGTTGATATGGTAGTTGGTGTTATTGTTGTTTGTGTTGTGTCCGTCGGTGTACTACTGGATGTGAATGAAGTGGTTGGTGTTGGTGTGAGTGTGGTGACAGTGACGGGAGGTGATGTTGATATTGATGTTGGTGTAGATTGTGTAGATAGTGTAGATAGTGTTGATATGGTAGTTGGTGTTATTGTTGTTTGTGTTGTGTCCGTCGGTGTACTACTGGATGTGAATGAAGTGGTTGGTGTTGGTGTGAGTGTGGTGACAGTGACGGGAGGTGATGTTGATATTGATGTTGGTGTAGATTGTGTAGATAGTGTAGATAGTGTTGATATGGTAGTTGGTGTTATTGTTGTTTGTGTTGTGTCCGTCGGTGTACTACTGGATGTGAATGAAGTGGTTGGTGTTGGTGTGAGTGTGGTGACAGTGACGGGAGGTGATGTTGATATTGATGTTGGTGTAGATTGTGTAGATAGTGTAGATAGTGTTGATATGGTAGTTGGTGTTATTGTTGTTTGTGTTGTGTCCGTCGGTGTACTACTGGATGTGAATGAAGTGGTTGGTGTTGGTGTGAGTGTGGTGACAGTGACGGGAGGTGATGTTGATATTGATGTTGGTGTAGATTGTGTAGATAGTGTAGATAGTGTTGATATGGTAGTTGGTGTTATTGTTGTTTGTGTTGTGTCCGTCGGTGTACTACTGGATGTGAATGAAGTGGTTGGTGTTGGTGTGAGTGTGGTGACAGTGACGGGAGGTGATGTTGATATTGATGTTGGTGTAGATTGTGTAGATAGTGTAGATAGTGTTGATATGGTAGTTGGTGTTATTGTTGTTTGTGTTGTGTCCGTCGGTGTACTACTGGATGTGAATGAAGTGGTTGGTGTTGGTGTGAGTGTGGTGACAGTGACGGGAGGTGATGTTGATATTGATGTTGGTGTAGATTGTGTAGATAGTGTAGATAGTGTTGATATGGTAGTTGGTGTTATTGTTGTTTGTGTTGTGTCCGTCGGTGTACTACTGGATGTGAATGAAGTGGTTGGTGTTGGTGTGAGTGTGGTGACAGTGACGGGAGGTGATGTTGATATTGATGTTGGTGTAGATTGTGTAGATAGTGTAGATAGTGTTGATATGGTAGTTGGTGTTATTGTTGTTTGTGTTGTGTCCGTCGGTGTACTACTGGATGTGAATGAAGTGGTTGGTGTTGGTGTGAGTGTGGTGACAGTGACGGGAGGTGATGTTGATATTGATGTTGGTGTAGATTGTGTAGATAGTGTAGATAGTGTTGATATGGTAGTTGGTGTTATTGTTGTTTGTGTTGTGTCCGTCGGTGTACTACTGGATGTGAATGAAGTGGTTGGTGTTGGTGTGAGTGTGGTGACAGTGACGGGAGGTGATGTTGATATTGATGTTGGTGTAGATTGTGTAGATAGTGTAGATAGTGTTGATATGGTAGTTGGTGTTATTGTTGTTTGTGTTGTGTCCGTCGGTGTACTACTGGATGTGAATGAAGTGGTTGGTGTTGGTGTGAGTGTGGTGACAGTGACGGGAGGTGATGTTGATATTGATGTTGGTGTAGATAGTGTAGATAGTGTTGATATGGTAGTTGGTGTTATTGTTGTTTGTGTTGTGTCCGTCGGTGTACTACTGGATGTGAATGAAGTGGTTGGTGTTGGTGTGAGTGTGGTGACAGTGACGGGAGGTGATGTTGATATTGATGTTGGTGTAGATTGTGTAGATAGTGTAGATAGTGTTGATATGGTAGTTGGTGTTATTGTTGTTTGTGTTGTGTCCGTCGGTGTACTACTGGATGTGAATGAAGTGGTTGGTGTTGGTGTGAGTGTGGTGACAGTGACGGGAGGTGATGTTGATATTGATGTTGGTGTAGATTGTGTAGATAGTGTTGATATGGTAGTTGGTGTTATTGTTGTTTGTGTTGTGTCCGTCGGTGTACTACTGGATGTGAATGAAGTGGTTGGTGTTGGTGTGAGTGTGGTGACAGTGACGGGAGGTGATGTTGATATTGATGTTGGTGTAGATTGTGTAGATAGTGTAGATAGTGTTGATATGGTAGTTGGTGTTATTGTTGTTTGTGTTGTGTCCGTCGGTGTACTACTGGATGTGAATGAAGTGGTTGGTGTTGGTGTGAGTGTGGTGACAGTGACGGGAGGTGATGTTGATATTGATGTTGGTGTAGATTGTGTAGATAGTGTAGATAGTGTTGATATGGTAGTTGGTGTTATTGTTGTTTGTGTTGTGTCCGTCGGTGTACTACTGGATGTGAATGAAGTGGTTGGTGTTGGTGTGAGTGTGGTGACAGTGACGGGAGGTGATGTTGATATTGATGTTGGTGTAGATTGTGTAGATAGTGTAGATAGTGTTGATATGGTAGTTGGTGTTATTGTTGTTTGTGTTGTGTCCGTCGGTGTACTACTGGATGTGAATGAAGTGGTTGGTGTTGGTGTGAGTGTGGTGACAGTGACGGGAGGTGATGTTGATATTGATGTTGGTGTAGATTGTGTAGATAGTGTAGATAGTGTTGATATGGTAGTTGGTGTTATTGTTGTTTGTGTTGTGTCCGTCGGTGTACTACTGGATGTGAATGAAGTGGTTGGTGTTGGTGTGAGTGTGGTGACAGTGACGGGAGGTGATGTTGATATTGATGTTGGTGTAGATTGTGTAGATAGTGTAGATAGTGTTGATATGGTAGTTGGTGTTATTGTTGTTTGTGTTGTGTCCGTCGGTGTACTACTGGATGTGAATGAAGTGGTTGGTGTTGGTGTGAGTGTGGTGACAGTGACGGGAGGTGATGTTGATATTGATGTTGGTGTAGATAGTGTAGATAGTGTTGATATGGTAGTTGGTGTTATTGTTGTTTGTGTTGTGTCCGTCGGTGTACTACTGGATGTGAATGAAGTGGTTGGTGTTGGTGTGAGTGTGGTGACAGTGACGGGAGGTGATGTTGATATTGATGTTGGTGTAGATTGTGTAGATAGTGTAGATAGTGTTGATATGGTAGTTGGTGTTATTGTTGTTTGTGTTGTGTCCGTCGGTGTACTACTGGATGTGAATGAAGTGGTTGGTGTGAGTGTGAGTGTGGTGACAGTGACGGGAGGTGATGTTGATATTGATGTTGGTGTAGATTGTGTAGATAGTGTAGATAGTGTTGATATGGTAGTTGGTGTTATTGTTGTTTGTGTTGTGTCCGTCGGTGTACTACTGGATGTGAATGAAGTGGTTGGTGTTGGTGTGAGTGTGGTGACAGTGACGGGAGGTGATGTTGATATTGATGTTGGTGTAGATTGTGTAGATAGTGTAGATAGTGTTGATATGGTAGTTGGTGTTATTGTTGTTTGTGTTGTGTCCGTCGGTGTACTACTGGATGTGAATGAAGTGGTTGGTGTTGGTGTGAGTGTGGTGACAGTGACGGGAGGTGATGTTGATATTGATGTTGGTGTAGATTGTGTAGATAGTGTAGATAGTGTTGATATGGTAGTTGGTGTTATTGTTGTTTGTGTTGTGTCCGTCGGTGTACTACTGGATGTGAATGAAGTGGTTGGTGTTGGTGTGAGTGTGGTGACAGTGACGGGAGGTGATGTTGATATTGATGTTGGTGTAGATTGTGTAGATAGTGTAGATAGTGTTGATATGGTAGTTGGTGTTATTGTTGTTTGTGTTGTGTCCGTCGGTGTACTACTGGATGTGAATGAAGTGGTTGGTGTTGGTGTGAGTGTGGTGACAGTGACGGGAGGTGATGTTGATATTGATGTTGGTGTAGATTGTGTAGATAGTGTAGATAGTGTTGATATGGTAGTTGGTGTTATTGTTGTTTGTGTTGTGTCCGTCGGTGTACTACTGGATGTGAATGAAGTGGTTGGTGTTGGTGTGAGTGTGGTGACAGTGACGGGAGGTGATGTTGATATTGATGTTGGTGTAGATTGTGTAGATAGTGTAGATAGTGTTGATATGGTAGTTGGTGTTATTGTTGTTTGTGTTGTGTCCGTCGGTGTACTACTGGATGTGAATGAAGTGGTTGGTGTTGGTGTGAGTGTGGTGACAGTGACGGGAGGTGATGTTGATATTGATGTTGGTGTAGATTGTGTAGATAGTGTAGATAGTGTTGATATGGTAGTTGGTGTTATTGTTGTTTGTGTTGTGTCCGTCGGTGTACTACTGGATGTGAATGAAGTGGTTGGTGTTGGTGTGAGTGTGGTGACAGTGACGGGAGGTGATGTTGATATTGATGTTGGTGTAGATTGTGTAGATAGTGTAGATAGTGTTGATATGGTAGTTGGTGTTATTGTTGTTTGTGTTGTGTCCGTCGGTGTACTACTGGATGTGAATGAAGTGGCTGGTGTTGGTGTGAGTGTGGTGACAGTGACGGGAGGTGATGTTGATATTGATGTTGGTGTAGATTGTGTAGATAGTGTAGATAGTGTTGATATGGTAGTTGGTGTTATTGTTGTTTGTGTTGTGTCCGTCGGTGTACTACTGGATGTGAATGAAGTGGTTGGTGTTGGTGTGAGTGTGGTGACAGTGACGGGAGGTGATGTTGATATTGATGTTGGTGTAGATTGTGTAGATAGTGTAGATAGTGTTGATATGGTAGTTGGTGTTATTGTTGTTTGTGTTGTGTCCGTCGGTGTACTACTGGATGTGAATGAAGTGGTTGGTGTTGGTGTGAGTGTGGTGACAGTGACGGGAGGTGATGTTGATATTGATGTTGGTGTAGATTGTGTAGATAGTGTAGATAGTGTTGATATGGTAGTTGGTGTTATTGTTGTTTGTGTTGTGTCCGTCGGTGTACTACTGGATGTGAATGAAGTGGTTGGTGTTGGTGTGAGTGTGGTGACAGTGACGGGAGGTGATGTTGATATTGATGTTGGTGTAGATTGTGTAGATAGTGTAGATAGTGTTGATATGGTAGTTGGTGTTATTGTTGTTTGTGTTGTGTCCGTCGGTGTACTACTGGATGTGAATGAAGTGGTTGGTGTTGGTGTGAGTGTGGTGACAGTGACGGGAGGTGATGTTGATATTGATGTTGGTGTAGATTGTGTAGATAGTGTAGATAGTGTTGATATGGTAGTTGGTGTTATTGTTGTTTGTGTTGTGTCCGTCGGTGTACTACTGGATGTGAATGAAGTGGTTGGTGTTGGTGTGAGTGTGGTGACAGTGACGGGAGGTGATGTTGATATTGATGTTGGTGTAGATTGTGTAGATAGTGTAGATAGTGTTGATATGGTAGTTGGTGTTATTGTTGTTTGTGTTGTGTCCGTCGGTGTACTACTGGATGTGAATGAAGTGGTTGGTGTTGGTGTGAGTGTGGTGACAGTGACGGGAGGTGATGTTGATATTGATGTTGGTGTAGATTGTGTAGATAGTGTAGATAGTGTTGATATGGTAGTTGGTGTTATTGTTGTTTGTGTTGTGTCCGTCGGTGTACTACTGGATGTGAATGAAGTGGTTGGTGTTGGTGTGAGTGTGGTGACAGTGACGGGAGGTGATGTTGATATTGATGTTGGTGTAGATTGTGTAGATAGTGTAGATAGTGTTGATATGGTAGTTGGTGTTATTGTTGTTTGTGTTGTGTCCGTCGGTGTACTACTGGATGTGAATGAAGTGGTTGGTGTTGGTGTGAGTGTGGTGACAGTGACGGGAGGTGATGTTGATATTGATGTTGGTGTAGATTGTGTAGATAGTGTAGATAGTGTTGATATGGTAGTTGGTGTTATTGTTGTTTGTGTTGTGTCCGTCGGTGTACTACTGGATGTGAATGAAGTGGCTGGTGTTGGTGTGAGTGTGGTGACAGTGACGGGAGGTGATGTTGATATTGATGTTGGTGTAGATTGTGTAGATAGTGTAGATAGTGTTGATATGGTAGTTGGTGTTATTGTTGTTTGTGTTGTGTCCGTCGGTGTACTACTGGATGTGAATGAAGTGGTTGGTGTTGGTGTGAGTGTGGTGACAGTGACGGGAGGTGATGTTGATATTGATGTTGGTGTAGATTGTGTAGATAGTGTAGATAGTGTTGATATGGTAGTTGGTGTTATTGTTGTTTGTGTTGTGTCCGTCGGTGTACTACTGGATGTGAATGAAGTGGTTGGTGTTGGTGTGAGTGTGGTGACAGTGACGGGAGGTGATGTTGATATTGATGTTGGTGTAGATTGTGTAGATAGTGTAGATAGTGTTGATATGGTAGTTGGTGTTATTGTTGTTTGTGTTGTGTCCGTCGGTGTACTACTGGATGTGAATGAAGTGGTTGGTGTTGGTGTGAGTGTGGTGACAGTGACGGGAGGTGATGTTGATATTGATGTTGGTGTAGATTGTGTAGATAGTGTAGATAGTGTTGATATGGTAGTTGGTGTTATTGTTGTTTGTGTTGTGTCCGTCGGTGTACTACTGGATGTGAATGAAGTGGTTGGTGTTGGTGTGAGTGTGGTGACAGTGACGGGAGGTGATGTTGATATTGATGTTGGTGTAGATTGTGTAGATAGTGTAGATAATGTTGATATGGTAGTTGGTGTTATTGTTGTTTGTGTTGTGTCCGTCGGTGTACTACTGGATGTGAATGAAGTGGTTGGTGTTGGTGTGAGTGTGGTGACAGTGACGGGAGGTGATGTTGATATTGATGTTGGTGTAGATTGTGTAGATAGTGTAGATAGTGTTGATATGGTAGTTGGTGTTATTGTTGTTTGTGTTGTGTCCGTCGGTGTACTACTGGATGTGAATGAAGTGGTTGGTGTTGGTGTGAGTGTGGTGACAGTGACGGGAGGTGATGTTGATATTGATGTTGGTGTAGATTGTGTAGATAGTGTAGATAGTGTTGATATGGTAGTTGGTGTTATTGTTGTTTGTGTTGTGTCCGTCGGTGTACTACTGGATGTGAATGAAGTGGTTGGTGTTGGTGTGAGTGTGGTGACAGTGACGGGAGGTGATGTTGATATTGATGTTGGTGTAGATAGTGTAGATAGTGTTGATATGGTAGTTGGTGTTATTGTTGTTTGTGTTGTGTCCGTCGGTGTACTACTGGATGTGAATGAAGTGGTTGGTGTTGGTGTGAGTGTGGTGACAGTGACGGGAGGTGATGTTGATATTGATGTTGGTGTAGATTGTGTAGATAGTGTAGATAGTGTTGATATGGTAGTTGGTGTTATTGTTGTTTGTGTTGTGTCCGTCGGTGTACTACTGGATGTGAATGAAGTGGTTGGTGTTGGTGTGAGTGTGGTGACAGTGACGGGAGGTGATGTTGATATTGATGTTGGTGTAGATTGTGTAGATAGTGTAGATAGTGTTGATATGGTAGTTGGTGTTATTGTTGTTTGTGTTGTGTCCGTCGGTGTACTACTGGATGTGAATGAAGTGGTTGGTGTTGGTGTGAGTGTGGTGACAGTGACGGGAGGTGATGTTGATATTGATGTTGGTGTAGATTGTGTAGATAGTGTTGATATGGTAGTTGGTGTTATTGTTGTTTGTGTTGTGTCCGTCGGTGTACTACTGGATGTGAATGAAGTGGTTGGTGTTGGTGTGAGTGTGGTGACAGTGACGGGAGGTGATGTTGATATTGATGTTGGTGTAGATTGTGTAGATAGTGTAGATAGTGTTGATATGGTAGTTGGTGTTATTGTTGTTTGTGTTGTGTCCGTCGGTGTACTACTGGATGTGAATGAAGTGGTTGGTGTTGGTGTGAGTGTGGTGACAGTGACGGGAGGTGATGTTGATATTGATGTTGGTGTAGATTGTGTAGATAGTGTAGATAGTGTTGATATGGTAGTTGGTGTTATTGTTGTTTGTGTTGTGTCCGTCGGTGTACTACTGGATGTGAATGAAGTGGTTGGTGTTGGTGTGAGTGTGGTGACAGTGACGGGAGGTGATGTTGATATTGATGTTGGTGTAGATTGTGTAGATAGTGTAGATAGTGTTGATATGGTAGTTGGTGTTATTGTTGTTTGTGTTGTGTCCGTCGGTGTACTACTGGATGTGAATGAAGTGGTTGGTGTGGTTTCTGTGTTTGCGGTTGTTGTTTGTGTCTGTGCTAATGTTGTTGTGGTTGTTGTTTGGGCGGTTTCTGTAATGTAAAAAATTATATTTTAGATTTCTCTGGGTTCGTTTTTTTTGGAATTTTAAATTTTTTTTTTACTGTGGTGTTTTCTTAATTTTATGTCTTTTTTCTCATCTAAATTGGTTTTAGTTTCTGTGTTTTTATTCTTTGTGTCATGCTGATTTTTTTATAACTGGGTGGTTTTATTTTGTGGTTTTTGCATTGTGTATATATATGTTTAATAATTTTTCGGTTATTTGGTTTGTGTGTGTCTCCTAATTCTAATTCGTTACTGGGTCATGTAAGGTTAAATATTGTGTCGCTTTGCGTTAACATTAAGACATTATTTGCTTAGCTTTTTGGATCCTACGTTATCGCATGTTTTGCCTTTATTAGTTATTCTAGTCACTTTACTGGTTAACTAGTTGATCTTTTTTATACCAGAATTCTTTATGCCATGTATAGATTTAGCGTTATTTCGCCTGTAACTGTATGGTGTTGATTCGATGAACATACACTCAATGATTAACTTTTCTCCTTCTACCTGATCATATTACTTTTGTAATAAGCTTAATTATAATTAGGTGTAGAAATTAGTTAATCACTGACTCTATGTTCATTACTAATCATTGCTAAATCTATATTGTTGTAGCGTGACGCAGCCACTATACTGGATATTTGAGTTTTCTGCGATGAAAATGAACAGTATGAAATTATAAATTTCTAGTACTGGTTTGCTGAAATTTGATAAGTTACAGATTTGATGAAGATCTGTAGTCACTTAAAATAGCTTTGGAAAACTAAGGAGTGCTTGACAATTGTTTCGTCCCTTTTTAGGGCTCTTCATCAGAACTCACTCATATGTGTTTAAACTCAGCATGTTCATTTTACGAGTTTACATGCACTGATGAAGAGTCCTACACCAGGACAAAACATCTGCCCGGTACTCTTTGGTTCCTCAGTCCTCCTTTAACTGATGTCACCTCGTTATCAAATCAGAAAGAAATAAGGCTTTTATAAAGCAGCTTTGTAAACTGTTTGAATAAATGTCAATATGATTATGAGTAACACAATAAATTGGGCTTAGAGGGTCATCAGGGTATAAATAATCCTTCATCACTAAAATTATTCTAATATGGGATTACTTTCCAATCTCGGAGAATTATTTCAAGTATGTTTCTTCAGGCATACACTGTGACTACTTATGAGTAGTATGGCGTAACTATTATTTTATTCCATCACATTTCGAATGAAATATTGGTCTTCAAGCTGGAAGCTGTAAAATTCCTGTAGCGCTTCTGTTTTTCTTTCAAGCGTGGGTGGGTGGCGTAGGTTATATCAGTTGATCACGGATTGATATCAGTTAGAGAACCATTGAAAACCAGCATAGGAGTATTGGACAGCTGTTTCATCGTAGTTTAGTAATCATCGGCAGTACGCACCCACGTCGCGGAGTTCGAACCCAGGACCTTCCGGTTACAAGGCAAGCTGGTGTGTATGCTATTCAGCCACTGGGACCCGATTCAATGGCCAACCCATGAATTCTAACTTCTACCAATTCGTGATTTAGCGCGACCCCAACCAATGTCGTCGGTGGGACATCCAGCCTCACACGTGGCATCTGGATGGTTCTCTAACTGATATCAATCCGTGATCAGCTCGTAAAAACATAACTAACTCTTACAAACCAAGCAGTAGGTTTTATCATCATTCATTGATCAGTAACTCAGAAATGGATACACAAATACTCCAGTTGAGTAATATGCTCCATAATAAATCTAAGTAAATTAAAGTCTAAACATATAAGATATGTCAGATTGGTATTTGAGATTCACTGGTAGAATGCTGGCCAGTCACGCATATGCTCCAGGGTTCAATTCCCGAGCTGATGCACTCTTAAAACTCATTCAGCCGGTAGTAGGATTAGTGAAGACGGGAGATTCGGCGTGAGGCTGGCAGCACTACCCTGTAAAAGCAACAAACACCACTCTACTAGTGAAACACTTCAGAGTTCAAGCTTGAAGCCGTATATTCCACTCGGAACACACAGGAATATAATAATCAAAATTTAAAAACACCATTATTGTATAAGATATTATAAATTAATATTATTATTTTTAATTATGTAAGGAATTAACATTAGATACTTACGTCCAATTTGTACATCAAATAATTGTATAGTTGATGTTGCATTAGTATTATTGTATGTGGTAACAAAATTATTTGTAAAATCATCTGTACTCAAAACATCAGCTTGTGTTGTATTCAACTGGATTGTAGCATTACCACCGACAACATTTTCAACTGCATTGCCTGTACCAGCTTGACGTTTCTCCCAGACAACGGTTACTTGTCTAGGTGAAAATGTCACATCTATGCATGCCTTTGCTTTATTAGCTGTTAGTGGAGCTTTTTGTAGGAATGTGATTAGCTATAAGGTAATGTAAAAGACAAATGTTATACATGCATATATGTATATATTGAACTGCATATCTTGTATATCAATAATTTACTGGAAACAAATTTATAAGAAGTATAAAATGAAACTTAACACTTTGGCTTAATGGTCTGTGAGCTAGCTCGCCTTGCAACCAAAAGTTCTTGTGTTCGAGCTCCTGTGGTGTGGGTGCGTACTGCTGAAGAGTCCCAACAGTTATATAGTCTTCTAAGAGGTCAGAGAAATGCCTACAAAGGTCATATGTTATAACACCAGTTAGTGAGTAACAATATCTTTTAAATTATTTGTTGGGAAACGCAAAAGGTTACGTAACACAAATTCATTAAGTGACTAATATCGCGCAGAAATGCCACTTGACAGAGATCAATTACTTCCGCAGGCAGCCGGAACGGATAAAAATATCAAAGCCATCTAGCTAGAATCGGAAAGGCAAGATACGCTTTCATCAACCTGAAACTAGTTTGGAAATCCTGTGTACTCAGCCAGTATAAACAACAAGATTTGGATTTTCAGAACAAATGTGAAGTCAGTCAGTTCTTTTATACTGGTGAGAAACTTGGCCAGCGTGTCACAAAAATCATTTCCAACAGGTTGCTGCAAACTTTTATCAACAGCTGGCTTCATACTGGAGATCGAATGGCAGGCCGGCCGGCTAGACATTAAGAATTAGCAATAAGAAACTCTGGCTGGAAACAAACCAACAGGCGAGAACCGATTTCTCACCAAAGACGTAGGAGATAATGGAGATGGATTGATTGGGGATACGTTGTGGAGGCCATCCAATGATATCGTGCGCAATGCAAGTCAAAGCTCGAGTGGAATTCAAATGGGAATCGACGAGTAGTTCGTCAGTACGAGGGTGACATGGAGGAAGTTGAGCGATACGAGGAGGAGATGGGAGATTATGGGGAGTTGTGGACGCAGCTGAATAGGACAGTGGAAAATAGAAGAAAGTGGAGATGTGCCGTTGAAGCCCTATGTTCCACTTCGAATCCAAGGGAATAATAATCTCACAGAAATGATTATCATGAGAACTCCAAGCTCTTGGAAACAGGTGTATTATTCATAAGAGTAACAGATTCAGAATATTTAGGAAGTATATTTTGAAGTCAGTAGTTTGAAAAGACAGGAGAAGATAAATGCGACTGAATAGGTATTATGTATGCAATTACTGTATAAATGATGAGCGCTACTCATCATTTAGTGTTTTCAGATTGTATATTCCACTATCTTTCCCGATAGGTAATTTCGCACCTTTTGTTACCAGCTGAAGTGAACAATTGACTTGTATAGGCATTTTGCTCACCTCTTAGTACACTTAGTACCCGTATGGCTTTGAAATGAAGTTATGACAAAGATATTCTTTGCTGCCCTATATCTTTTTAACTTATTATAGCACAGGCTTTGTATACTAGAAACATTTCAAAATATTCTTTTTGTGAAATTTTATCCACATTGACGGTATCTACTTCACAATTTTCAGTAGTATGTTTGTACCAAACTAAAATCTTGGGATTTTTAATAGTCACAGTAATAAGAAGACGTAATTTATCTGAATCGTGTATTGTGTAATTGAGCAACACATTTCGAACAGTCTTATCACATACGGACTTGTCACAGGAATATATATGAAAATAATAAAGAGTTAAGAGGTGAGAAAATAGACTTAATTGAAGTTAAAAGTACATATTGAAGGTCAAAATAACAATGAAGACCACTAAACCAAATAAGAGAGGTATTAGCACATCTACCCTGGCTGGTATCAAAACACAGTTCACCAAGGAAGGTTTAGTGTGTTGACGAATCGTTGTTTGGAACGCATAAAGCTGGTTTAAACTTTCTAATTGCCAGCTAGGGCTTCCAGAAACTTTAGGATACACCCTCCCTGAAACAAGTTTTATAGATAGATTTAAAGAACGTGTGTAAACATCAATTTTATGTCCTGTCTCTATAATATGTTTTGCAATAGAGGAGCTAGATCTCCAGTTCTTATCATTAATTAATGGGTTATTTGGATTCCATTTACTGCTCAAGCCCTTTAGGAATATGTTCCGAAGCTCTTACTTGGAGAGATCGTTGAGTCCTCCCGTGTGTCCACGCGTTCATTCAAATTGGTAAATACAGTGAGAGAATGTGACGTCATTTTCCGTGTGTTCGAAGGGCTTAGATGGATAGATATATGGGTTTCACATTTTTAATTATTATGATCTGCATAAAAAGTGTTTTCAACCGCTGTCGAGTCACTAAGCTGTTATGGGGGAGCTTGATGTATGCATCTTTCTTAGTGGCGAGTTGGGGAGTGGGTCTTGGTGTTCTGACTACTTTATATCTCCTAATGAACTTCTCTGGATAATTATTATCAACCAGAGTTTATGTCAACTTTCTTTCTTCCTCATCAAGTGTGTCTTCAGTGCATATTCGTTGGATTCTACTGAAGAGGTACCTCACTCACTAAGGCTCTTTTGTACCGAACAGGGTAGAAACTGTGATAATTGTGAAAAACAATTCTGATTGGTCAAAGTACATTGCTGCTTATTATAAAAATCAGTCAATGTGAACCGGGAATTTGTTTAGCGTTTTATTAGAGGTTGACAAAAGTCTGTCATTTTCATGACAAAAAGGACTACTTTTCAAGAGGAATTCGCCTTTGCTCCACAGTGAAGATGTGATGTCAGTCTAGAAATGAAGATGGATTAGAAATGTATTGAGGAGATTGTGGAATGTCATCATGTGCCAGATAGTCCCTCGAGTGGAAAGCCTACAAGGAACGACGAGTATGGCGTGTCAATTTGAATAAGGATGACATGGATGAGATCATGTGGGGAGGAAATGAAAGCTTAAGGCCAATCATACAGCCAGTTGAAAAGACCTCCAGACTACAGAATAAAATGATGTACTGATAATGCTGTCTATTTCACTCAGAATCCAAGGATGAAGTGGTTATTTACATAATTAGACACTTTCGTAAAAAGTTACATAGGTGTGAACTGTGTGTGGACTGTTGTGTCGGGTCCCAGGAGCAGAATCACTTACTAGCTTGCCTTGTCATTCGAACTCTGCTGGATGCTTACTTTCTTTGTTTATTTATTCCCTAACGTTCCTAGTGGAACATAGGGCTTCAAGCTAGAGGCTTGAAGTTTTGGCTGCAGTGGTATTTATTTGTACTGGATGGGGTTGCTTCTGGCCTCATGCCAAGCCCAACCTTCCCTCTTTACCAGCCTTATTACTGGCTTACCTGAGGTAAAGGAGTGCGTCGATGGCCGGGAATCGAACCACGTGTGGTGTGGTTGGCGAGCATTCTGCCTCTGTGCCACCAACGCATGCGTACTGTTGAAGAGTCTCAAAGTAGGACGAAACAGTTATCGAATACTTTCTGATTTCCCAGGGGTTCTCTCACCTATTTCAGAGAGTATAAAGCTTTATCATTTTATAATAAAACATCTTCGTTTTGATTCACTAATCACACTCGGGAAATGTTTATTTTCAGGAAAGAAAGAAAAGCCATACTTACCAAATTACAATATGTTTTAGCCAGATTAGTATAACTCGTTGTTGTTTTATCGGCATAAGCAGCATCCCATGTGATTGCTGAATTATTATTTTGATGATATATACTCGACTCAATCCAATATACCGTGGAAACTATTATTTGTAAGAGGAAGAGAAGGAAAGCATGGGAAAAAAGAGTGAGAGAGTATTAAACACTTCAAAATACACCTGTCTAATTCATTTCCTAGTCATCTACATTACGCATAGAATAAAACTAACAACAACTGGTACACAGGTTCAGTTCATCTCACAGAGTAGTAGGAGATGATTGTTCCTATGATTTTTATCACAATATATTGGTGAACATTGAATAGTTTGTTTATTCGAAATGTTCTGCATATTGGCGGAAGATAAGAAGGCTGTCATTGCTCAATCGTATACTGGTTGGCAGAAGATTGGAGAAATACAATCAGAAACTTTAGCACTGATTAATCACTGCAAAATCTGTTTTGTTATCGCTTCAAGAATAAATAATCGTGCTATCCAAACGTTTTCTGGTGTTCCGCGTCAGTTACAGTGCATAGTCTTTTATGTATTGGTCTTAATCTTCTGAAACCAGGAATACGTTCAAGATCTCAACGATCTGGATATTTGACACTATCACTTTTTATGAAATAGAAGTCGGATTAAATTTTGTCTTTATATTGCAAGATATACTCGTTCCACATAAATTGTAATTGGCTTTCAACCAAGTGTTGTGCATTTCTTCTCAAAAGAGGCCAAAAAGAAGATATATCAGTAGGGATTGATTGACTGACTTATTGATTTGCATTTCAGTTTCAGGGCATCGTGCCACTGCATCAAACGATCTACTTACTTTTGATGTGGTTGTGTTATCTGAGCTAGATAGTTAATTTGCGAAGCTTTCATCACCCTACTAGGTGACATCTTCAGCGCATACTTCAATTTGAAGTGAGCTATTAGATTTCTCCACGAGTTTACTAATCATCTCTCCTGCTGACCTTGGACGTGATTGGTTGTTTTTGTGTGTTTTCACACCTTCTAGACTACTTGTTTTGGAACTGATTGTTTCTTTGACTTGAACTTTGACCCTTTGTGTGTGAGGTTTCTTTCTTATCGGTTGATAAATTTTGTCAATCTCGATGTGTCTATTGATTGATGATTCACTGGAAGCTTGGCATTCCACTTGATGAGATGATTAATAAACTCGTGGAGAAATCTAAAAGCTCACTTCAAATTGAAGTATGAGCTGAAGATGTCACCTAGTAGGGTGATGAAAGCTTCGCAAATTAACTATCCAGCTCAGAGAACACAACCACATCAAAATCATCCACCTGAGCTACAAATCTTTTCCATCATATCTAGATCTACTTACTATCAATTACTATTTTACTTGATGAAAATACCAGGGGGTGGAAGAAAATATTATGCTATAAATTCCTTCTGAGGCGTGTTTATATTTGATAAACGGTGTTCACAATAACGCTATTATTATTATTTGTTATTACTGGAGATACATTTGAGCTCTAAGATGGAAGGAACAGTAGTGACTATATTTGAAATAGTATAAGCAGTCAACTTTTATGTTTCAGATCCCTGATGATGAGGATTGCTCTCTTTCCCTCTCTCTCTCTCTCTCCTTCATAACCTATTTCATTTTTGATTGGACAATACTTAGTCACTAGTGTAGTGTATCTAGTCTTCTGTGTTTGGTGCAGACTGAATTCTATCAGTCAAGTTTGCAATATGGCCACACCATGCCACTAGGTGGCTCTTGCCATCACAATGCACTGTGAATTGTTCGTATTAGATGGCAATCGGTCACAGGTAGCCTTGGATACCACCTAGATTTCGTGATAGTTGGCACTCACCAGTCAGTAAGGTGTATCTGCAACCACCTTGAAGGAACTCATATCCCTTCTGAGATTTTTCGAATCCGCGTCACCTAGTGAGTACTGCAGTCAGAGACATTACCACTGAAGTAATTCAGGCTCACGATGACTGACACTAGTCAGTAACTAGTGTAATGTGTCTAGTCTTTCTTATTTTCGTTCGGTGCAGACTGAATTCTATCAGTCATGCTTAACGATTCTTTAGAAAATGTAAAACATAGTTCATACCTCGAAATTAAAAAAAAAGAAACGTTAGCAAATTATATGTATTATACAAATGTATAAATAGAAGCAAGCAAAACAACTAAATCATAATTGTAAAAATAATAATTAACTAATTAATGAATTAATTAATTAATTAAATAATACTAACATAAAACCAAATGATAAGATAAAAATCTTTTTTCTTTTTTAAAACAAAAAACAGCAACCAAAAATTGTAGCATTGAACAGCATGTGCAGAGGTTGGTGAGCATGTGCTTAGGTACATATTATAGGAGTATGCGTGTGCGTGCATGTATGCGTGTTGGCGTGAACCTTTCAGGTAGTTACGAATCCTTTACAGAGTCTTGCACTCACACTATGCATGGTGTTTATCAATCCACCTATGAGAATGAACACACTAAGCATATGTGATAATTAATTCAATAATAATATTGTCACTATTTTTTCATTTTCATGACATATACTACTTATATATATGCTGTGAATATAAGCATTCATACTGAAGCTGTTGTTGTTGTTGGTGTCGTTGGAGTTGGAGTTGGTGTATAGTGTTGTCACAATTTTTTGATGAATTCAATTCGAAAACAGCATGAATTCTAAAAATGTATGCGTAAACATTTTATTTTACTCTTTAAAATAATAATTACAAAAATAAATAAACTTGTAGCACAATAATCAAATGCAAGAAAAGAAATTAAAAAAGAAAGAATTAAAATCTTCCTGATAATTAGCATAATTTGGAAATGCTAATCTATCATATCAAAGGTAAGTAATGTATGTGTATCTTTGTGTGTGTGTGTGTGTGTATTTGTCGTTAGCCTTTTGTATGGGATTGTCAGTCAAAAAGAACAAGATGACATGATATATTATATATATAAGGGTTAGTTCATGGGAATGTAATATATATACGAGCTACTGTTGCTCTTAGTGTTGTCGTTGTCGTTTGACAAGAGATTGAAATGTATTGCATGCCTAAAGTGTATTCTCTGTGTGAAATTGATGGTTTGGGGAAAAAGTAGTTCACGGTATTACTGGTACTTTTATTATGTAAACAAGATGAACTCATTACCTTGAATAATCTTAAAACAGAATGAAGTAATCATTATTTGCTTGAAGATCGGTCAATTATCTGAAAGCTGTCATATATTATATATACATATATATGCATGTAAAATACATTTAGCATGGAATAGTGTTGCACAGTTCACAGAAATACAAACCCTGCAATTGTGAATTTAATACAGATGTGTAATAATTCATTAATACCTTGTTCTTGCATTTTAGCCATTAGTTAAGATACGAAAAATGAATAGTTGTAGTTGTTTTTGTTGTAGTAGTGTGGTGTGGTGGTGTGATACAGACAATGGGTTTCAACTGTATATTATGCTCCCATATTCCCACAGTTCAGTGTGGTATAAGCAACAGAATACTATATGTATTTCAATATATATATATATATATATATTATTCCTTTACGTTCCCAGTGGAACTTAGGGCACCTTCAAGTTACAGGCTTGAAGTTTCGGTAGCAGTTGTGTGTGTTTATTTTTACGGGATGAGGTTGCTAGCCTCATACCCAGCCCAACCTTCCCTCTTTACCAGTTTTATTACTAGCATAGAGAGGTAAAGGAGTGCGTCGGTGGCCGAGGATCGAACTCCGGACCACATGACGCCTGGTTGGCGAGCATTTTACCACTGTGCCACCGATATTGACACCGGCTGGTATGATCAATGGAAAATAATACCTTGGCTTCAGTGTCTTTGCCTTTTCCTGTAGTAACAATAATAATAATAATCGGACAGAACGAATCATTCTTAACTTACTGTTGACTATAGTTTAAGAAAAGAATAAAAAGAAAATATATGAAACTTTATGAATGTATATATAGATGAGTTGAATGATCAACGGATAGCCTTCTTTAGCATGCATTTGTGTCTATCTGGGAGGAACTGTACAGGTGGGGGATGGATGAAGATGTCAAAAACTACTCAGCATCGTAAGAGTATGACAGACTTTCACACTACCCTGAAATCATTCTGCACTCATTCTATACTGCACTCAGCTCAAAGAAAAAGATTACAATTTTCAACACTAATGTCAAGTTGTGCGTCGGTGTTTCAGCGGTGGAACGCTCACCAACCACGCCTCACGTGGTCGGAGGTTCGACCCACAGCCGATGCACTCCTAAAACCTCGCTAAGTAGGTAGTAAATCCGGAAAAGAGGGAAGGTTGGGTATGAGGCTAGCAACAACCTCACCCCGTGAAAAATAAAATAGACCACTGCTACCGGAACTTCAAAGCTCTAGCTTGTGAAACCATCTGTGTTCCACTGGGAACGTAAAGGAATAAAATACTAAGATAAAAAATAAACGTCAGGTCAGTCGCTTCTTCTTCACAGAGTCAAAAACTTGGCCAGCCCGTCACGAAAAGCACTTTCAATAGTCTACTGTAAACGTTTGTCAACAGCTGCTGCCTTCTTTCTCTCTCTCTCTACTGAAGATTAAGTGACTGGAAAGAAACTATAGGAACAAACTGACCAAGAACCTATTACTCAACAAATATGTGGAAGAAAATGGAGATGGATTAGGTTTCCGTTGAGGAGACCGTTGACTGACACTGACTGGTAGTCGTATGCGAAATTGTGAGTTAGACGTGCGTCTGATGATGACATAATGGAGATGACAGCCTATGCTGAATCGTGGAGGTAGCTGAAGAAGGCTCCACAGAACTGGTTGAAATGGAGAGATGTTCTTGAAGCAATATGTTCCACCAGAAACCTAAGGGAATAATAATAATAAGAGTAATGTGTGTATGTATGTAAGTGAATATTTATGTTTACCACCGAAGGTAACACAACTCATATTCATAGAGTTATCTGTTGAAAACTAAATTCATCCTCCCAATAAAAGTCATCCAGATAACATGTTAAAACAAGTCCATAATAATCATTTTAAACAGTCTATTAAGTGACAAGTAGTGGAATTCTGGATGCAAATTTCCTCCTATTTGGGACTCGTCATCTGGATGCGCCTGCATTCCCCACTGAGTGATGGTGTTCTCATCGAAGCTCAAACTTCAAAGCATTATCCAACTGACGAGTACCAAATAGGACGAAATGTGCATCTTGGATTCTACTGCTAGTGTCACCATCCACCAATTGACTTTAAGGAGCCAATATGTCAACCTGAGACCAAACACCTCGGGCCAATCAATCGATGGGAAAACTCTAAAATTGAATTCTATAGTCTAGTAGGTTATAATTTCTTTTAATTACTGATCCGTTATATCAGTCTGTCAGTCAGAAAAGAACCTCAGCTATCTGTGTGTCCATTTGTATGGCAATGTAAGGCTCAAGTATTGTTGTACATTTAATAATATCTGTCCTACTGATTACTTATATTTCTGAAGATGAAGCATAGCTCGAATCTATGTGATTAGTGGGATGTTGACTACATATCTGAATATTTAAAATGAAATTAATGGATTTTTCGTTTAGTGTGAATAGAATTTCTTCAAACAATAGTACATCTGCTTTTCATCAAGAGTGGTTCTGTTCTATTCCCCCGATCTAGATCATTTGTCCTACCGGTGAACATCTTGAATACATACTTGAAAAATGGAATATAATTCCTGAAGATGATGCCTAGGAGAGACAATGAAATCTTTATAAAACAAAAAAACATAACAAAACACAGCCACCGAAGCTGTAAATCTTTTGTATTATTACCTTCCCCAATGAGCTTATCACCACAACTGAAAAGGCGCTAAGCAGAGTTCGTTAGTTAGTTAGTTAGTTGAGCTTAACAAATCAAATGTATTTGATACCGCAGCATCAGTATACAGACGTAAACAAGGAGACGAATAGTTTCACTTTTGTGTGATATTTTTTTCCTTCACGTTTCCCAGTGGAACATAGGGCTTCAAGCTAGTGGCTTGAAGTTTTTGTAGCAGTGTTTATTTTACAAGATGGGGTTGCTAGCCTCATGCCCAACCTTTCCTCTTCACCAGTATTATTTCTGGTTTAGCGAGGTAAAGGAGTGCGTCTGTGGCCGGGGATCGAATCCCGGACCATGTGCATGGTGGGCGAGTGTCCTAACCGCTATACCACCGACGCACGCAATGGTCCTTCCGCAGGTGTGTGATATAACCAATAATAAATAATTTATATATCAATAAATATTTGCACATTATGAAAAGCATCCAATTGTAATGCAGGATGGTGGTGTGATTGCTTGGTACAAGATCATTAAGCTATGGTATCTATTCTTAAATGTCGCCTCTTCAAATGCAGAAAAATAAATAAGCGTATACACGTTAAAAAAAAACACAAAAGCAAATTAGCACTGTTATTTAAACAAGCCTAAAAGCAGAGAGGTTTCTACGAATCTACATCATCAAATACAACGAAAATGCTAATAAACTGTTCATTTGAAAATGCATCTACGCTGCACTCAGTGTTAGGAAATAAAATAATGCAGATACGCAACATGCAGATGAGATGAATATCAAATCAGATTTAACCCAGCATGAGTGTATACAGGAAACAGAAAATCATAAGGAAGCCGGCAAATGAAAATAAAATTACTGCTATTAGTCCAGCAAGCAATAAATGCAATCAGCTAAATCAAAGAGGTGCTCACATGATATGTCCACTCAATGGCTTACCAGATAAAACAGGCTTAACAGTCGTGCTGGCGATACCAGTAGTGCTAACATCTGCAGCTTTCGTAGTAACAGCGAGGATAGTTGATGAATATGATTCTGGTAGAACTGAAATATGCGTGGTAGTGGGTAACAAGGTAGACGTCAAAGAAGAATAACTAAAAGAATTAAGAGGACCGAAAGAGGGAAAAAAGGTAGAAGAAGATGAAGAAGATAAAAGAGTGGCAGTGGTAGTGGTGGTGTCGGCGACCGTGGTGGATTGAGTAGTGGAAGTAGTGGGTGTTTGTGTTGTTGGCGGTGGTGTTGTGGACGTTGATGTTGGCGATGGTGTGGTTGTTGCAGTTGGCGTGTTTGTCGGTGTTGTTGCTGTTGTCGTGGCCGCTTCTGTTGTTGTTGTTTGTGGTGTGCTTGTGATGGGCTGAGTTGTGCTGTGTGTGGTTGTAGTGTCGGTGGGTGTTTGTGGTTGCGTTGTGATGATTGTTGACGGTGTCGGTGACATTGTTGTTGTCGCGGGCGGTTGAGTCGTTGTTGTTGCTTGTGGCGTGGACGTTTCCATAGTCGATTGAGGAGTGGTGGTAGTGGGTGTTGGTGTTGTCGGCGTTGGCATTTGCGTTGTCGTTGTCGTTGGTGTTGGTGTTGGTGTTTCTGTTTGTGTTGATGGCTGAGATGTGGTTGTGAGTGGCGCTTGTGTGGTTGTGGTCGTCTGAGTGCTGACAATTGTGGGTGTTGGTGTTGGGGTCGGCGTCGACATTGGTGTTGGTGTTGTTGTTGGTGTCGGTGTTGTCTGTTCCATAGTGGTTGTGGGTGTGGGTGTGGGTGTGGTGAGTATTGTGGTTGTCTGTGTGGTTGTGGGTGTTGTGACGGTAGTGGGAGCGGCTGTTTGAGTGGTTGTGATGCCAGTGGTAGTGGTGGTGTCGGCGACCGTGGTGGATTGAGTAGTGGAAGCAGTGGGTGTTTGTGTTGTTGGCGGTGGTGTTGTGGACGTTGATGTTGGCGATGGTGTGGTTGTTGCAGTTGGCGTGTTTGTCGGTGTTGTTGCTGTTGTCGTGGCCGCTTCTGTTGTTGTTGTTTGTGGTGTGCTTGTGATGGGCTGAGTTGTGCTGTGTGTGGTTGTAGTGTCGGTGGGTGTTTGTGGTTGCGTTGTGATGATTGTTGACGGTGTCGGTGACATTGTTGTTGTCGCGGGCGGTTGAGTCGTTGTTGTTGCTTGTGGCGTGGACGTTTCCATAGTCGATTGAGGAGTGGTGGTAGTGGGTGTTGGTGTTGTCGGCGTTGGCATTTGCGTTGTCGTTGTCGTTGGTGTTGGTGTTGGTGTTTCTGTTTGTGTTGATGGCTGAGATGTGGTTGTGAGTGGCGCTTGTGTGGTTGTGGTCGTCTGAGTGCTGACAATTGTGGGTGTTGGTGTTGGGGTCGGCGTCGACATTGGTGTTGGTGTTGTTGTTGGTGTCGGTGTTGTCTGTTCCATAGTGGTTGTGGGTGTGGGTGTGGGTGTGGTGAGTATTGTGGTTGTCTGTGTGGTTGTGGGTGTTGTGACGGTAGTGGGAGCGGCTGTTGGAGTGGTTGTGATGCCAGTGGTAGTGGTGGTGTCGGCGACCGTGGTGGATTGAGTAGTGGAAGTAGTGGGTGTTTGTGTTGTTGGCGGTGGTGTTGTGGACGTTGATGTTGGCGATGGTGTGGTTGTTGCAGTTGGCGTGTTTGTCGGTGTTGTTGCTGTTGTCGCGGCCGCTTCTGTTGTTGTTGTTTGTGGTGTGCTTGTGATGGGCTGAGTTGTGCTGTGTGTGGTTGTAGTGTCGGTGGGTGTTTGTGGTTGCGTTGTGATGATTGTTGACGGTGTCGGTGACATTGTTGTTGTCGCGGGCGGTTGAGTCGTTGTTGTTGCTTGTGGCGTGGACGTTTCCATAGTCGATTGAGGAGTGGTGGTAGTGGGTGTTGGTGTTGTCGGCGTTGGCATTTGCGTTGTCGTTGTCGTTGGTGTTGGTGTTGGTGTTTCTGTTTGTGTTGATGGCTGAGATGTGGTTGTGAGTGGCGCTTGTGTGGTTGTGGTCGTCTGAGTGCTGACAATTGTGGGTGTTGGTGTTGGGGTCGGCGTCGACATTGGTGTTGGTGTTGTTGTTGGTGTCGGTGTTGTCTGTTCCATAGTGGTTGTGGGTGTGGGTGTGGGTGTGGTGAGTATTGTGGTTGTCTGTGTGGTTGTGGGTGTTGTGACGGTAGTGGGAGCGGCTGTTTGAGTGGTTGTGACGCCAGTGGTAGTGGTGGTGTCGGCGACCGTGGTGGATTGAGTAGTGGAAGTAGTGGGTGTTTGTGTTGTTGGCGGTGGTGTTGTGGACGTTGATGTTGGCGATGGTGTGGTTGTTGCAGTTGGCGTGTTTGTCGGTGTTGTTGCTGTTGTCGTGGCCGCTTCTGTTGTTGTTGTTTGTGGTGTGCTTGTGATGGGCTGAGTTGTGCTGTGTGTGGTTGTAGTGTCGGTGGGTGTTTGTGGTTGCGTTGTGATGATTGTTGACGGTGTCGGTGACATTGTTGTTGTCGCGGGCGGTTGAGTCGTTGTTGTTGCTTGTGGCGTGGACGTTTCCATAGTCGATTGAGGAGTGGTGGTAGTGGGTGTTGGTGTTGTCGGCGTTGGCATTTGCGTTGTCGTTGTCGTTGGTGTTGGTGTTGGTGTTTCTGTTTGTGTTGATGGCTGAGATGTGGTTGTGAGTGGCGCTTGTGTGGTTGTGGTCGTCTGAGTGCTGACAATTGTGGGTGTTGGTGTTGGGGTCGGCGTCGACATTGGTGTTGGTGTTGTTGTTGGTGTCGGTGTTGTCTGTTCCATAGTGGTTGTGGGTGTGGTGAGTATTGTGGTTGTCTGTGTGGTTGTGGGTGTTGTGACGGTAGTGGGAGCGGCTGTTGGAGTGGTTGTGATGCCAGTGGTAGTGGTGGTGTCGGCGACCGTGGTGGATTGAGTAGTGGAAGTAGTGGGTGTTTGTGTTGTTGGCGGTGGTGTTGTGGACGTTGATGTTGGCGATGGTGTGGTTGTTGCAGTTGGCGTGTTTGTCGGTGTTGTTGCTGTTGTCGTGGCCGCTTCTGTTGTTGTTGTTTGTGGTGTGCTTGTGATGGGCTGAGTTGTGCTGTGTGTGGTTGTAGTGTCGGTGGGTGTTTGTGGTTGCGTTGTGATGATTGTTGACGGTGTCGGTGACATTGTTGTTGTCGCGGGCGGTTGAGTGGTTGTTGTTGCTTGTGGCGTGGACGTTTCCATAGTCGATTGAGGAGTGGTGGTAGTGGGTGTTGGTGTTGTCGGCGTTGGCATTTGCGTTGTCGTTGTCGTTGTCGTTGGTGTTGGTGTTGGTGTTTCTGTTTGTGTTGATGGCTGAGATGTGGTTGTGAGTGGCGCTTGTGTGGTTGTGGTCGTCTGAGTGCTGACAATTGTGGGTGTTGGTGTTGGGGTCGGCGTCGACATTGGTGTTGGTGTTGTTGTTGGTGTCGGTGTTGTCTGTTCCATAGTGGTTGTGGGTGTGGGTGTGGGTGTGGTGAGTATTGTGGTTGTCTGTGTGGTTGTGGGTGTTGTGACGGTAGTGGGAGCGGCTGTTGGAGTGGTTGTGATGCCAGTGGTAGTGGTGGTGTCGGCGACCGTGGTGGATTGAGTAGTGGAAGTAGTGGGTGTTTGTGTTGTTGGCGGTGGTGTTGTGGACGTTGATGTTGGCGATGGTGTGGTTGTTGCAGTTGGCGTGTTTGTCGGTGTTGTTGCTGTTGTCGTGGCCGCTTCTGTTGTTGTTGTTTGTGGTGTGCTTGTGATGGGCTGAGTTGTGCTGTGTGTGGTTGTAGTGTCGGTGGGTGTTTGTGGTTGCGTTGTGATGATTGTTGACGGTGTCGGTGACATTGTTGTTGTCGCGGGCGGTTGAGTGGTTGTTGTTGCTTGTGGCGTGGACGTTTCCATAGTCGATTGAGGAGTGGTGGTAGTGGGTGTTGGTGTTGTCGGCGTTGGCATTTGCGTTGTCGTTGTCGTTGTCGTTGGTGTTGGTGTTGGTGTTTCTGTTTGTGTTGATGGCTGAGATGTGGTTGTGAGTGGCGCTTGTGTGGTTGTGGTCGTCTGAGTGCTGACAATTGTGGGTGTTGGTGTTGGGGTCGGCGTCGACATTGGTGTTGGTGTTGTTGTTGGTGTCGGTGTTGTCTGTTCCATAGTGGTTGTGGGTGTGGGTGTGGGTGTGGTGAGTATTTTGGTTGTCTGTGTGGTTGTGGGTGTTGTGACGGTAGTGGGAGCGGCTGTTTGAGTGGTTGTGATGCCAGTGGTAGTGGTGGTGTCGGCGACCGTGGTGGATTGAGTAGTGGAAGTAGTGGGTGTTTGTGTTGTTGGCGGTGGTGTTGTGGACGTTGATGTTGGCGATGGTGTGGTTGTTGCAGTTGGCGTGTTTGTCGGTGTTGTTGCTGTTGTCGTGGCCGCTTCTGTTGTTGTTGTTTGTGGTGTGCTTGTGATGGGCTGAGTTGTGCTGTGTGTGGTTGTAGTGTCGGTGGGTGTTTGTGGTTGCGTTGTGATGATTGTTGACGGTGTCGGTGACATTGTTGTTGTCGCGGGCGGTTGAGTGGTTGTTGTTGCTTGTGGCGTGGACGTTTCCATAGTCGATTGAGGAGTGGTGGTAGTGGGTGTTGGTGTTGTCGGCGTTGGCATTTGCGTTGTCGTTGTCGTTGTCGTTGGTGTTGGTGTTTCTGTTTGTGTTGATGGCTGAGATGTGGTTGTGAGTGGCGCTTGTGTGGTTGTGGTCGTCTGAGTGCTGACAATTGTGGGTGTTGGTGTTGGGGTCGGCGTCGACATTGGTGTTGGTGTTGTTGTTGGTGTCGGTGTTGTCTGTTCCATAGTGGTTGTGGGTGTGGGTGTGGGTGTGGTGAGTATTGTGGTTGTCTGTGTGGTTGTGGGTGTTGTGACGGTAGTGGGAGCGGCTGTTGGAGTGGTTGTGATGCCAGTGGTAGTGGTGGTGTCGGCGACCGTGGTGGATTGAGTAGTGGAAGTAGTGGGTGTTTGTGTTGTTGGCGGTGGTGTTGTGGACGTTGATGTTGGCGATGGTGTGGTTGTTGCAGTTGGCGTGTTTGTCGGTGTTGTTGCTGTTGTCGTGGCCGCTTCTGTTGTTGTTGTTTGTGGTGTGCTTGTGATGGGCTGAGTTGTGCTGTGTGTGGTTGTAGTGTCGGTGGGTGTTTGTGGTTGCGTTGTGATGATTGTTGACGGTGTCGGTGACATTGTTGTTGTCGCGGGCGGTTGAGTGGTTGTTGTTGCTTGTGGCGTGGACGTTTCCATAGTCGATTGAGGAGTGGTAGTAGTGGGTGTTGGTGTTGTCGGCGTTGGCATTTGCGTTGTCGTTGTCGTTGGTGTTGGTGTTGGTGTTTCTGTTTGTGTTGATGGCTGAGATGTGGTTGTGAGTGGCGCTTGTGTGGTTGTGGTCGTCTGAGTGCTGACAATTGTGGGTGTTGGTGTTGGGGTCGGCGTCGACATTGGTGTTGGTGTTGTTGTTGGTGTCGGTGTTGTCTGTTCCATAGTGGTTGTGGGTGTGGGTGTGGGTGTGGTGAGTATTGTGGTTGTCTGTGTGGTTGTGGGTGTTGTGACGGTAGTGGGAGCGGCTGTTGGAGTGGTTGTGATGCCAGTGGTAGTGGTGGTGTCGGCGACCGTGGTGGATTGAGTAGTGGAAGTAGTGGGTGTTTGTGTTGTTGGCGGTGGTGTTGTGGACGTTGATGTTGGCGATGGTGTGGTTGTTGCAGTTGGCGTGTTTGTCGGTGTTGTTGCTGTTGTCGTGGCCGCTTCTGTTGTTGTTGTTTGTGGTGTGCTTGTGATGGGCTGAGTTGTGCTGTGTGTGGTTGTAGTGTCGGTGGGTGTTTGTGGTTGCGTTGTGATGATTGTTGACGGTGTCGGTGACATTGTTGTTGTCGCGGGCGGTTGAGTCGTTGTTGTTGCTTGTGGCGTGGACGTTTCCATAGTCGATTGAGGAGTGGTGGTAGTGGGTGTTGGTGTTGTCGGCGTTGGCATTTGCGTTGTCGTTGTCGTTGGTGTTGGTGTTGGTGTTTCTGTTTGTGTTGATGGCTGAGATGTGGTTGTGAGTGGCGCTTGTGTGGTTGTGGTCGTCTGAGTGCTGACAATTGTGGGTGTTGGTGTTGGGGTCGGCGTCGACATTGGTGTTGGTGTTGTTGTTGGTGTCGGTGTTGTCTGTTCCATAGTGGTTGTGGGTGTGGGTGTGGTGAGTATTGTGGTTGTCTGTGTGGTTGTGGGTGTTGTGACGGTAGTGGGAGCGGCTGTTTGAGTGGTTGTGATGCCAGTGGTAGTGGTGGTGTCGGCGACCGTGGTGGATTGAGTAGTGGAAGTAGTGGGTGTTTGTGTTGTTGGCGGTGGTGTTGTGGACGTTGATGTTGGCGATGGTGTGGTTGTTGCAGTTGGCGTGTTTGTCGGTGTTGTTGCTGTTGTCGCGGCCGCTTCTGTTGTTGTTGTTTGTGGTGTGCTTGTGATGGGCTGAGTTGTGCTGTGTGTGGTTGTAGTGTCGGTGGGTGTTTGTGGTTGCGTTGTGATGATTGTTGACGGTGTCGGTGACATTGTTGTTGTCGCGGGCGGTTGAGTGGTTGTTGTTGCTTGTGGCGTGGACGTTTCCATAGTCGATTGAGGAGTGGTGGTAGTGGGTGTTGGTGTTGTCGGCGTTGGCATTTGCGTTGTCGTTGTCGTTGTCGTTGGTGTTGGTGTTGGTGTTTCTGTTTGTGTTGATGGCTGAGATGTGGTTGTGAGTGGCGCTTGTGTGGTTGTGGTCGTCTGAGTGCTGACAATTGTGGGTGTTGGTGTTGGGGTCGGCGTCGACATTGGTGTTGGTGTTGTTGTTGGTGTCGGTGTTGTCTGTTCCATAGTGGTTGTGGGTGTGGGTGTGGGTGTGGTGAGTATTGTGGTTGTCTGTGTGGTTGTGGGTGTTGTGACGGTAGTGGGAGCGGCTGTTGGAGTGGTTGTGATGCCAGTGGTAGTGGTGGTGTCGGCGACCGTGGTGGATTGAGTAGTGGAAGTAGTGGGTGTTTGTGTTGTTGGCGGTGGTGTTGTGGACGTTGATGTTGGCGATGGTGTGGTTGTTGCAGTTGGCGTGTTTGTCGGTGTTGTTGCTGTTGTCGTGGCCGCTTCTGTTGTTGTTGTTTGTGGTGTGCTTGTGATGGGCTGAGTTGTGCTGTGTGTGGTTGTAGTGTCGGTGGGTGTTTGTGGTTGCGTTGTGATGATTGTTGACGGTGTCGGTGACATTGTTGTTGTCGCGGGCGGTTGAGTGGTTGTTGTTGCTTGTGGCGTGGACGTTTCCATAGTCGATTGAGGAGTGGTAGTAGTGGGTGTTGGTGTTGTCGGCGTTGGCATTTGCGTTGTCGTTGTCGTTGGTGTTGGTGTTGGTGTTTCTGTTTGTGTTGATGGCTGAGATGTGGTTGTGAGTGGCGCTTGTGTGGTTGTGGTCGTCTGAGTGCTGACAATTGTGGGTGTTGGTGTTGGGGTCGGCGTCGACATTGGTGTTGGTGTTGTTGTTGGTGTCGGTGTTGTCTGTTCCATAGTGGTTGTGGGTGTGGGTGTGGGTGTGGTGAGTATTGTGGTTGTCTGTGTGGTTGTGGGTGTTGTGACGGTAGTGGGAGCGGCTGTTTGAGTGGTTGTGACGCCAGTGGTAGTGGTGGTGTCGGCGACCGTGGTGGATTGAGTAGTGGAAGTAGTGGGTGTTTGTGTTGTTGGCGGTGGTGTTGTGGACGTTGATGTTGGCGATGGTGTGGTTGTTGCAGTTGGCGTGTTTGTCGGTGTTGTTGCTGTTGTCGTGGCCGCTTCTGTTGTTGTTGTTTGTGGTGTGCTTGTGATGGGCTGAGTTGTGCTGTGTGTGGTTGTAGTGTCGGTGGGTGTTTGTGGTTGCGTTGTGATGATTGTTGACGGTGTCGGTGACATTGTTGTTGTCGCGGGCGGTTGAGTGGTTGTTGTTGCTTGTGGCGTGGACGTTTCCATAGTCGATTGAGGAGTGGTAGTAGTGGGTGTTGGTGTTGTCGGCGTTGGCATTTGCGTTGTCGTTGTCGTTGGTGTTGGTGTTGGTGTTTCTGTTTGTGTTGATGGCTGAGATGTGGTTGTGAGTGGCGCTTGTGTGGTTGTGGTCGTCTGAGTGCTGACAATTGTGGGTGTTGGTGTTGGGGTCGGCGTCGACATTGGTGTTGGTGTTGTTGTTGGTGTCGGTGTTGTCTGTTCCATAGTGGTTGTGGGTGTGGGTGTGGGTGTGGTGAGTATTGTGGTTGTCTGTGTGGTTGTGGGTGTTGTGACGGTAGTGGGAGCGGCTGTTGGAGTGGTTGTGATGCCAGTGGTAGTGGTGGTGTCGGCGACCGTGGTGGATTGAGTAGTGGAAGTAGTGGGTGTTTGTGTTGTTGGCGGTGGTGTTGTGGACGTTGATGTTGGCGATGGTGTGGTTGTTGCAGTTGGCGTGTTTGTCGGTGTTGTTGCTGTTGTCGTGGCCGCTTCTGTTGTTGTTGTTTGTGGTGTGCTTGTGATGGGCTGAGTTGTGCTGTGTGTGGTTGTAGTGTCGGTGGGTGTTTGTGGTTGCGTTGTGATGATTGTTGACGGTGTCGGTGACATTGTTGTTGTCGCGGGCGGTTGAGTCGTTGTTGTTGCTTGTGGCGTGGACGTTTCCATAGTCGATTGAGGAGTGGTGGTAGTGGGTGTTGGTGTTGTCGGCGTTGGCATTTGCGTTGTCGTTGTCGTTGGTGTTGGTGTTTCTGTTTGTGTTGATGGCTGAGATGTGGTTGTGAGTGGCGCTTGTGTGGTTGTGGTCGTCTGAGTGCTGACAATTGTGGGTGTTGGTGTTGGGGTCGGCGTCGACATTGGTGTTGGTGTTGTTGTTGGTGTCGGTGTTGTCTGTTCCATAGTGGTTGTGGGTGTGGGTGTGGTGAGTATTGTGGTTGTCTGTGTGGTTGTGGGTGTTGTGACGGTAGTGGGAGCGGCTGTTTGAGTGGTTGTGATGCCAGTGGTAGTGGTGGTGTCGGCGACCGTGGTGGATTGAGTAGTGGAAGTAGTGGGTGTTTGTGTTGTTGGCGGTGGTGTTGTGGACGTTGATGTTGGCGATGGTGTGGTTGTTGCAGTTGGCGTGTTTGTCGGTGTTGTTGCTGTTGTCGCGGCCGCTTCTGTTGTTGTTGTTTGTGGTGTGCTTGTGATGGGCTGAGTTGTGCTGTGTGTGGTTGTAGTGTCGGTGGGTGTTTGTGGTTGCGTTGTGATGATTGTTGACGGTGTCGGTGACATTGTTGTTGTCGCGGGCGGTTGAGTGGTTGTTGTTGCTTGTGGCGTGGACGTTTCCATAGTCGATTGAGGAGTGGTGGTAGTGGGTGTTGGTGTTGTCGGCGTTGGCATTTGCGTTGTCGTTGTCGTTGTCGTTGGTGTTGGTGTTGGTGTTTCTGTTTGTGTTGATGGCTGAGATGTGGTTGTGAGTGGCGCTTGTGTGGTTGTGGTCGTCTGAGTGCTGACAATTGTGGGTGTTGGTGTTGGGGTCGGCGTCGACATTGGTGTTGGTGTTGTTGTTGGTGTCGGTGTTGTCTGTTCCATAGTGGTTGTGTGTGTGGTGAGTATTGTGGTTGTCTGTGTGGTTGTGGGTGTTGTGACGGTAGTGGGAGCGGCTGTTTGAGTGGTTGTGATGCCAGTGGTAGTGGTGGTGTCGGCGACCGTGGTGGATTGAGTAGTGGAAGTAGTGGGTGTTTGTGTTGTTGGCGGTGGTGTTGTGGACGTTGATGTTGGCGATGGTGTGGTTGTTGCAGTTGGCGTGTTTGTCGGTGTTGTTGCTGTTGTCGTGGCCGCTTCTGTTGTTGTTGTTTGTGGTGTGCTTGTGATGGGCTGAGTTGTGCTGTGTGTGGTTGTAGTGTCGGTGGGTGTTTGTGGTTGCGTTGTGATGATTGTTGACGGTGTCGGTGACATTGTTGTTGTCGCGGGCGGTTGAGTGGTTGTTGTTGCTTGTGGCGTGGACGTTTCCATAGTCGATTGAGGAGTGGTGGCAGTGGGTGTTGGTGTTGTCGGCGTTGGCATTTGCGTTGTCGTTGTCGTTGGTGTTGGTGTTGGTGTTTCTGTTTGTGTTGATGGCTGAGATGTGGTTGTGAGTGGCGCTTGTGTGGTTGTGGTCGTCTGAGTGCTGACAATTGTGGGTGTTGGTGTTGGTGTTGGCGTCGACATTGGTGTTGGTGTTGTTGTTGGTGTCGGTGTTGTCTGTTCCATAGTGGTTGTGGGTGTGGGTGTGGGTGTGGTGAGTATTGTGGTTGTCTGTGTGGTTGTGGGTGTTGTGACGTTATATGTTGAGTCTGTTATATTGTTTGTAATAATATCGCTTTTTTGTGTGCTTGTTATCATGTTTTCTGTATTTGTTGTGTCTGTGATAATGGTGTCTATTTGCCTCTTTTCAACTATTTGTTTTCCTAAAATGAAATTTTAAATAATTTTACTTTGATGGGTTTATTCGCTTTTTTCTCAATGTTTTGTCTTTATATAGGTTCATATTATATCTTACGTAATTTTTTAATTTTTTTTCATACATTGTATGGCATTTGATTTCATATTTGTATGTGGTGTTTGACAATGTTAGCCTTATTTTCCCTCTATATTTGTGTGCTTCTATATCTAACGCCTTATATATTGTATAATTTTCGTAGTGTTACTTAATTCCATATTTCTCTTTGTTTCTGTGTGCATGCCAATTGGAACTCACGTAATAATTTTATCATCTTATTACGCAACTGTACTAGGCTTAGTCAACTTCTTTTGCGTTTTGATTAACATTAATAAGCATGTTTTTTGTCAACGTACCTTCACTACCCTTCTACCAATCTTCACCCCCATGTGCTTATAATATTTTTTTCTAGTCATCCTATTTTGGAAATGTCTTGATAAGAGTAACCCTAACTAATTTTTATTCTCATCGGACAAACCTAATGCACATAGCTGTGTGAATGAATTCGCCTCAAAACAGAGACTATTCACTGACCTGCACATGTGTTTTGTTTTTTTCATTAATGTCTGGATGAGGATTATTCAAAGAATTGTTATTACTCTCAAAACATGATTACGTAATACACTCATTTGAATGAAATGATATAAAAATATTTTTCAGTGATCTTAACAACAACATTTAGTGCAATATTTGTTAAATACTGTTAATTTTCATTAATTCGTTTTTACGGATTAGATATGTTTTGACGACTTTGACCAACAATTGATATCAGTTAGAGACGCTTTGAAAACCAACCCTGGTGTACTGGACACTTGTTGCATCCTAGTTTTGGGAATCATTGGCAGTACGCACCCACCACCAGGGATCGAACCCAGTACCTTCCAATTACATGGCGAGCTCGTATACCATTCAGCCACTGGCCCCTGATTCACTGACCAACCGATGAATTCTAACCCCTACCAAAATTAATCTGATTCTCGCTAGTGATTTACTACAGGGAGGAGTTTCCTGGAGTTCTAGTGAGAAGTCGTGACCAGTGAGGTATATCCAGTCAAGTGTGAGAATGGATGTCCCGCCGATCACATTGGTTGGTGCCTGTCGCGCTAAATCAAGAATTGATAGAGGTTAGAATTCATTGCCTGTTAACTGATTCGAGTCTCAGTGTCTGAATGGTTTACGAACTTGCCTTGTAATCGGAAGGTCTTGGGTTCTATCCCTTCCTGTGAGCGCGTACTGCCGATGATTCCGAAAAAAAGCTAGGATGAAACAGTTGTCCAGTTTTCCAGGACTGGTTTTCCATGCTTCTCTAACTGACATCAAGCCATGAACAACTCGTCAAAAAATACAGTTAATCATTTACGGCTATGAACGGTACATAAAGAAATCTAATAATTAATGACTATATTTTTAGATAATAAGAAGGGGATGTTTACTGGTCATGGCCACAAATAAGACATAGGTGAACATGTTAACAGAAAAATTAGGTTTAGTAAAATGAATTTTGTTTCTACAACTGGATTACCAAGGTAGGTTCCAAATATTTTGAATATAGAATGGAGGTTTGAGTCATTTTATTCCAGATTAGATAAGTTTATTTGAAATATCACACAGTGATACACTATTGAAAACTGCTGGATGACAAGATTTCGAGCATAAATTATTTCTGCTCATGATCATATCCAGCTTTCCCTTGTTGTGTTGTAGCCAGCTAAAATAATTGACCCTGATAAGTTAAATAACCTAGAAAAAAGCTCCGCGCTTTGCATTTCATTCACTTGCATGTAATCACACAATAGAGGTGGGTAGGACAGAATGAGAGTATTAAAAAGTAAGTATAGTTAGGTGGACAGATGGAGAGGTTAATCACTGACTGAGTCTTTGTTTATCAATTCAACACTGTACACATGCATTCGGAATGACTCGACGCCTGTACCGAAGATTTGGAAAGTGGCAACAAACTACAATGGGGAGTTGCAGACAGACAGAAAGAGGGCAAATATATAAATGTGAAATGGTCGCGCTATGTCGTGAATTGGCAGAAGTTAGAATTCAAGGACTATTGGATCGGGTCCCAGTGGCTCAATGGTCTACGAGCTCGCCTTGTAACCAGAAGGTACTGGCTTCGAATCCCGGTGGGTGCGTACTGAAGAAGAGTCCAAAACTAGGACGAAACAGCTGTCCAGTACTCCCAGGTTTTCCAGTGGTTCTCCAACTGATGTCAGTTCATGATGAAATCCTCCATGAAATATTTAAAAGACAAATTGTGAAACCGTGTGACTAAAACTGATATGATTATGAGCAGCAATATAATTTATGCTCGAAACCTTGTCATCCAGTTGTTAATACTGCATCATCATCACTGTGTGATCATTTTTAATAAACTTATCCAATATGTGAGTGGATTCTGCCGTAGTGCCCAAGTTTTACAATTACATCAATGTTCAAGTATTGGTTTTGTAGGGATTTGGTTTGATTGCAAGGAGGATTTCATCATAAGCTGACGTCAGTTAGAGAACCACTGGAAAACCTGAGAGTACTGGACAGCTGTTTCGTCCTAGTTTGGGGCTCTTCAGCAGTACGTACCCACCAGGATTCGAAGCCAGTACCTTCTGGTTACAAGGCGAGCTCGTAGACCATTGAGCCACTGGGACCCGATCCAGTGGTCCTTGAATTCTAACTTCTGCCAATGAGCTTTTTGATGATTAAGTATGTGACCGAAATCTGCTTTGTATATTGACCCGTGTCAATGATACGCTTCGCTATAGATGATGTTGGACATATGACTTCGGGATTAATGAAATCAGGTAATTTAACTTGTTCCTACAGACACTGTGGAATATGTTCAGGTAACCTTGGTCTTCAAAGACCTTTGCCTTCTCGTTATGTACATGTGACCACACATAGATGTAAATTAGTAAACAGAATAGGATGTAACACTATCGTTCAGATAATGTGAAGGCTTAGGGGATGGCATAAGTAAGTCTCTCACACACCAAACAGATTTGAGTCGTATACTTAAGTTCACGGAAGCCTTCGACGATAAAAATGCTCAAACATGACTTGATAATTCAATTTTAAAACTCAGGTTTATTTGACTTAATACTCTTTTTTCAGCCATCCCTCCTGTCTTTTCTTTGCTTCATTTTCCTACCCCTTTATATGTGATCGTGTTCCATAAACATTTTGACCTGTATTGAGAAAAATTGTAATCTTTAAAACTCTGTTATCTTTTATAAAAATGTATGTATAATGAGTAGTACGTGTGCGTGTGTGATGAGAATGTCCATAAGGTATCGAAAAAAAATACATTAGTTGGAGGATTTCATCATGAACTGACATCGGTTAGAGAACCATTGGAAAACCAGCTGGGAGTACTGAACAGCTGTTTCCTCCATCCTAGTTTGGGACTCTTTGGCAGTACGCACCCACACCATGGGGTGGAACCCAGGACCTTCTGGTTTGAAAATTGATCCTATGCTCACTAGCGACTAGCCCTATTCGGGCAGGCAGTTACTTAGGGTTCTAGTGGGAAACCGTGACCAGCAGGGTACAACAGGTTGAAGGTGAGGACAGTTACTCATCCATTAAAGCATTGAGAAATGGTTACGCTATGTCATGAATCGGCAGAAGTTGTAATTCATGGACTGGTCACTGGATTGGGTCCCAGTGGCTCAATGGTCCTGGGTTCGAACCCCGTAGTGTGGGTGCGTACTGCTGAATAGTCCCAAACTAGACTAACGAAACAGCTATCCAGTACTCCCTTTATGTTTTCCAATGGTTCTCTAACCGATGTTGAAATCCCGTAACTAGTCAAACAAACTGAATCCCTACAAAACCAATGCTTGAAAATACACATTTCACATTCCAGATAAATAATGTCTGCTTATTATTTCTCGACTGAGAAATAATCGATTAGTATGCTAGCCCAAATCAATATTCTTTTCATTCATGGCACATTGAATTTCAACCCAATGGTTGAATGATAAATTTGTCCACCTTGTAACCTGAAGATCTTTAGTTTAACCTCTTCTGATGAGGGTGTCATGAGTGGTCACTGTTAAGAGATGTTCAAAAACCACAGTAGTAAAAGATATATATGTTCAATGCTTCTTTATTTTCTATAACTGGTCGGTAAGGATGGAATCTGGATGGAAATGAACCAACTGCTTAAAATATCCAACATTTAAATTTATCTAATTACCAAGGAGTATGAACTATTGAGTGAATTAAATCAGGTAATATTTCTCCATGAGGAACCAATATCAGTTAAAGAATCATTGAAAACCATAGAGCACTGTGGATAGTTAACTATTTCATCCTACCTAGTTTAAGACTCCGTAGAAAAATGGAAATATCAATCTCCAATTCACTGATGACTTTTGGATATGTCCAATGGGGTACACCATGTCAGCGTGAAGTAGATGCTCATTTGAAGGCAGTGGTTAAAAGTAGCTGGTCAACGAGCCTAACCTCGTAAATTCAAAGTCCTGGGTTCGAGCCCTGGTGGAGTCCAAGATGAGCACTGACAAGCAGTTCCAAACTAGGACGAAACAGCTGTCTGGCACTCTCTCCTTTTCAATGATTTCTTTACTATAATTTTGGTTGGTAACAAAATCTGAACTGAAATTGATTCAGTACCCTAAGAAAACTCATAATCTTAGTAATAAATAATAACTTGCAGAGAAAATTTTTTGTTTTTTCTCATTAAAACTGTTTTCGTCTAATGAAAATATCTTTATCTTTATTCCGAAAACAAAAAGGATTACCATTCAGGTGTGTATTAGGTAGAACACTCAAAAGTACGCCATATTTATGTAAAATAACAGTCACTCTGATAGTACTTTATCGTAAGTAGTTGACACATAAAAACTTCGCTTGGTTAAGTAGACGGTCATAAACCCAGGAAAAAAGCGGATGGAGACTTGGCATGGTGCTAATGACCCCATCCCGTAAAAACTGACCTCCAATCATTGATGAAACCCGAAATTTACAAAGAAATGCATGAAAAAATTATACCCACACTAACAATACTACTACTAATGCTACTAATATTCCTAGTAGTAGTAGTAGTAGTATAAAACACTGTTAAATACATCTCTTGCTCCATTAATCCAAATCAAGGTTATGTTGTATATACGTTAACCTATTTGTGTGTGTGCATGATAAAAAATACATACTTACCTAAATCACTGGCAGCTCGCATTGTGGTTGTGGGTGTGGGTGTGGTGAGTGTTGTGGTTGTGGGTGTTGTGACGGTAGTCGGAGCGGCTGTTTGAGTGGTTGTGATGCTAGTGGTAGTGGTGGTGTCGGCGACCGTGGTGGATTGAGTAGTGGAAGTAGTGGGTGTTTGTGTTGTTGGCGGTGGTGTTGTGGACGTTGATGTTGGCGATGGTGTGGTTGTTGGTGTTGTGGTGGCCGTTTCTGTTGTTGTTGTTTGTGGTGTGCTTGTGATGGGCTGAGTTGTGCTGTGTGTGGTTGTAGTGTCGGTGGGTGTTTGTGGTTGCGTTGTGATGATTGTTGACGGTGTCGGTGACATTGTTGTTGTCGTGGGTGGTTGAGTGGTTGTTGTTGCTTGTGGCGTGGACGTTTCCATAGTCGATTGAGGAGTGGTGGCAGTGGGTGTTGGTGTTGTCGGCGTTGGCATTTGCGTTGTCGTTGTCGTTGGTGTTGGTGTTGGTGTTTCTGTTTGTGTTGATGGCTGAGATGTGGTTGTGAGTGGCGCTTGTGTGGTTGTGGTCGTCTGAGTGCTGACAATTGTGGGTGTTGGTGTTGGTGTTGGCGTCGACATTGGTGTTGGTGTTGTTGTTGGTGTCGGTGTTGTCTGTTCCATAGTGGTTGTGGGTGTGGGTGTGGGTGTGGTGAGTATTGTGGTTGTCTGTGTGGTTGTGGGTGTTGTGACGGTAGTGGGAGCGGCTGTTGGAGTGGTTGTGATGCCAGTGGTAGTGGTGGTGTCGGCGACCGTGGTGGATTGAGTAGTGGAAGTAGTGGGTGTTTGTGTTGTTGGCGGTGGTGTTGTGGACGTTGATGTTGGCGATGGTGTGGTTGTTGCAGTTGGCGTGTTTGTCGGTGTTGTTGCTGTTGTCGTGGCCGCTTCTGTTGTTGTTGTTTGTGGTGTGCTTGTGATGGGCTGAGTTGTGCTGTGTGTGGTTGTAGTGTCGGTGGGTGTTTGTGGTTGCGTTGTGATGATTGTTGACGGTGTCGGTGACATTGTTGTTGTCGTGGGTGTTGGTGTGGTGAGTATTGTGTTAGGCTGTGTGTTTGTTGGTGTTGTGACGTTATTTGTTGAATCTGTTCTATTATTTGTATTAATATTGTTAGTTTTTGTGTCTGTTATGGTGTTTTCTGTACTTGTTATTTGTGTGATAATGGTGTCTATTTGTCTCTTTTCAAGTTTTTGTTTCCCTGAAATGAAATTTTAAATAATTTTAGTTTCATGTTTTTTTGCCTTTTTCCTAATGTTCTCTGTATCTTTAGGTTCAAATTATATCTTATTTAATTTTCTAATTTTATTTCATTTATTTTCCACGTTGGGTGAATTTGGTTTCATTTTTTATATGGTGTTTGACAGTGTTAGGTTTATTGTCTCTCTATTTTTATGTGCTCTTTTTCTAACGCCTTATGTATTTTGTAATTTTAGTAGTGTTACTTAATCCCATGTTTCCCTTTGTTTCTGTGTGCATGCCAATCGGAACTCACGTAATAATTTTATCATCTTATTACGCAACTGTACTAGGCTTAGTCAACTTCTTTTACGTTTTGATCAACAGTAATAAGTATTTTTTTGTCAACGTACCTTCACTACTCTTCTACCAATCCTCACTCCCGCCCTGTTCTAGTTATATTTTATTCTAGTCATCCCATTTTTTAAATGTCTTCACAAGAATATCCCTGACTAATTTTTATTCTTATCGGACAAACCTAATGCACACAGCTATGTGAATGAATTCGCCTCAAAACAGAGACTATTCACTCAGCTGCACATGTGTTTTGTTTTTTTCATTAATGTCTGGATGAGGATTATTCAAAGAATTGTTATTACTCTCAAAAACATGATTACGTAATACACTCATTTGAATGAAAGGTTATAAAAATATTTTTCAGTGATCTTAACAACAACATTTAATGCAATATTTGTTAAATACAGTTAATTTTCAATAATTCGTTTGTAAGGATTAGATTGGTTTTGACGACTTTGACCAACGATTGATATCAGTTAGAGACGCTTTGAAAACCAACCCTGGTGTACTGGACAGTTGTTGCATCCTAGTTTTGAGTAAAATAACAGTCACTCTGATAGTACTTTATCGTAAGTAGTTGACATATAAAAACTTCGCATGGTTAAGTAGACGGTCATAAACCCAGGAAAAAGGGGGATGGAGACTTGGCATGGGGCTAATGACCCCATCCCGTAAAAACTGACCTCCAATCTTTGATGAAACCCCAAATTTACAAAGAAATGCATGAAAAAATTATACCCACAGTGACAATACTACTACTATACTATTACTAATAGTAGTAGTAGTAGTGTGGTGAGAGATGGTTGCTAGCCAAATTGGTTGACAGTAATTGAGGTCAATGTTAGTCATGTGAAAACAAGGTCAAGATGGACAGGCGGATACAGTTAACATATAGATGAACTGACACAGCCACAAGAGATACAAGGTTAACTTTGTGTGAGAAACAACCAATCAACAGACTGTATTTTCTACTAACATTAACCTACAATAATGTACATCAAAATCTATAAATATGTGTTGATTTTCCGTAATAAACGATCTGTTGCCTGGCCTTTGTCTTCTGTTGTTACAGTAGTAATAACAGTAATTAAATGCATCTCTTACTCCATTAATCCAAATCAAGGTTATGTGTTGTATATAGGTTAGGCTGTTTTTGTCTGTCTGTGTGTGTGTGTGTGCATGTGATAAAATACGCATACTTACCTAGATCACTGGCAGCTCGCTTTTGTAACTGACGCATAATATCTTGTCGTTTTACTACTATTTCATGATTCCTAGTGTAGCTATCATCTTTCAGCTTTAATGACCATTCTTTTTTAGTATGATTTAATAATAATGCTATCATCAATGATTGTGATGCTGACAATGACGATGATGATTGTCGCGGTGATGACACGGCTTGATTTTCAACAGATAGACATGTAAAGCCAAAGATAATGCCAATGAGACAGAATGTCATAATTCTACGAAAAATCCATGGACTGGATTGAATCACACTCATTTTTGGTGATCTTTGTCCGTCTCTCTGTCTTTTTGAAATGGATAGGTTGAATAGTATATTAGCTGAAATTTCTCCTGTTGAATGTTGATATCTAAAAAGTACAAAAGGCAAAAGAAGATGGAATGATGAAGGTATTCAATTTTTAGTGCAAAAATTATCCAATACTTTTAAGAATTTTCAACGGATATTTTTTCGTTAACGTGCCATTATCATACTGGACAGTAAAGTCGAATTTTAGTTACAATAATAACAGTTAGAGAACCATTGAAACCTAACGCCGAGGGGTACTAGACAACTCTTTTCATCCTAGTTTCGGAATCATCGGCAGTACGCGCCCACACCACGGGGTTTGAACCCACGACCTTCCGGTTACAAGTCAGGCTAGCAACTGGGACAGTCTTGATTTAGCGCGACCACCAACCAGTTCCATCGGTGGGAAATCCATCCTCACACTTGACTGGTTGTACCTCCCTGGTCACTGGTCCCAGTGGATGCGTAATGCCGATGATTCCGAAACTAGGATGAAACAGATGTCCAATGCTCTACGGTTGGTTTTCAGTGCTTCTCCAACTGCTCTCAATCCTTGGTCAAACTCGTCAAAACAAATCTAATTCTTACAAACCAACTCTTGACAATAATAATGATGGCTTTATTCTAGACAGCGTCCATAAAATGTGAACAATTCTCAGTAGTACTTATGGTATTATGTACTCTCTTCGTCTAGCACTTTCAAGTAAAATATTAACGGACTGTAGATCGCATGACGCAGTGGTGTCAAACCTGAAGCGCAAAAGCCAGTAGTCCGTTATTATATTTTTTTCCGTTGTCTCTTTCGAAGAATGAACGATTTTGTGACCAAAGGATATAAGTTCGTTTTATTTCTGAGGCAGTGATAGTTTGTACAAATTGTGTTAGGAACAGCTATCGGATATTGTTTTTCTTATTGGATACTGGTTAGTAACTAGTGTAATGTGTCTAGTCCCCTGTGTTTGGTGCAGACTGAGTTCTATCAGTCGTGTTTGCAATGTGGCCATCATTCTAGGTAGCTCGCCACCACGGTGCACACTGATGTGATGATATTATATGGTTGAAAGGCAATCGGCAGGAAACCCTGCTTGACTTAGCCTTCGTGATAGTTAGCACTCACCGGTCAGCATGGTATATCTTCAACCAACTTGAAGGAACTCATGTCCCTCCTGAGATTCGAACCCACATCACTCAGTGAGTGCTGCAGTCAAAGACGTTATCACTGAGCTATTCGGGCTGGCTCGCGATTGATCTCATGCAGGAGGGTATTGGATACTTTGATTGACCACTAATAACTAATGTGATGCTTCTAGTCTCTGACTGCAGCACTGGATGACGCGAGTTCGAATCGCAGAAGGGACATGAGATCCTTCAAGTTGGTTGCAGATACACCTTGCTAACTGGTGACTGCCAACTATCACGAAACTTATGTCAAGCATGGCTTCCTGTGGCCGATTGCCTTCAACCATCTAACATCAGCCGTCTGATGTATTAGGACACGTTGCCACCTATCTATGATTATGCTTCTCCTCAAGTTTAATAGAAACTTGAGAATCAACAGACTGTAAATGGTACTGTTCAAGGTCATAGTTTTTTGATGAATTAAAACAATTTGAACACATGAAATAAAGATGCAATATAATGAGGAAGGTGTCTGGTAGCCCAAGTTTTTTTAGGCAGGCTACCGTGGTATTCCCAGATTTGATTTCACTTTCTGGTTTTTATAAGATAAATTCAAGATAGAATTAACAAAGAGGATATTCATTTAGACAGCTCAGGATTTTATCAATTGTGAAAGATCTTTTACTAAAAATATTTCCACTACAGTGTAGATGAGTGAGAATGAGAGATAATCTCTTTAAATGCCTAGCAGTTGAAACAAAATAAGCAGACATTTTTCAACTTATGCAGAATATTCTTGCTTTATTTTTTTTCTGCCTTCAGTTCCCAGTGAACATAGGGCCTAGCTAGTGTTGAAGTTTCTGTAGCAGTGTTTTAATTTTTACAGGATGGAGTTGCTAGCCTCATGCCCAACCTTTCCTCTTTACCAGCATTATTTCTTGCTTAGCGAGGTAAAGGAGTGCGTTGGCCGGGGATCAAACCCCGGACCATGTGCATGGTCGGCGAGCGTCCTAACCGCTATGCCACCGACGCACTTCTTGCTTTATAATGGTGAGTAATTTATTTTATTAACAGGAAGCTGCATGAATAATAACTAAATAACAAGAACTCATAATTACGCAATAGAAGTTTGTAGAAAAACTAAAAAGGAGGTGGGAAGGTTATCTCCTCTCTTAGAGATAGATCACGAAATGACATCCGTTATGAAATTAAATGACAACTAGGAAGTACTAGACAATGGTTTCGTCTTAGTTTCGAACTCTTCTGCACTACAAACCCACGACACCACTGGGGCCTTTAAGTCATAAGGTGAGTACACTGGCCAATCATTCCACTGGGATAGCCTATGGAATTTTAACTTCTGTCACTTCATGGTACATAGCACTACCATTAGCCGATGCCGTGTCATTTGTGAGTATCTTTCCTTACACTGGTCACTAATTCCTAGAAGAACCCCAAGAATTTCATCCCACAGTCAGTCACTAATGAATGAGAGATTAATTCTAAGAATTTAATTGATTTGAAACTGAATGAATAACTAGCCAGTCTGAACGTCCCCCTCCACCCCACCCCACCCAGTGGTGTCATTGGGTAGTACTGCTGGGAGAGTTACAAACTTCCTTGGTTTCAAATAGTTCTCTTACTGATGTCAAATCGAGATCTATCTTGAAATCAATCAAATATTTTTTTAGCTCAACACTTACAAAACAATCTCTTTTATAATTCAGAATAAAATAGTTAAAGCGAACAACTGTGGTTTCAATAAATTCCTCTTCTTCAGGCTCTACAATTATAAATCCATTAATTTGAGCATACAATAGCCAGCCAGTATAGGCAAATTAGAATCGTATCAGAAATGTGTATTGTGGAACAAGTATAAGATGGGATGCAACAATAGTCAGTTAGTTTTGAATATGCATGGTTAATGGGAACACGAGATAAAATGAGATGAAATAATTTAATGATATATATATATATATATATATATATATATATATATATACTCAACAAAAATACAGGTTTCGAGAGTGAGTGTAATCAGGGTGTGTGACACAATATGAATACTACAGAAAATAAACCAACGCATGGGGTGGACTAGACATAAGTTCAAGATTAAAAATAACGACAATAATGATTGTAAAATAATAACGACGATGTGGTATAAACTTAAAAGTACTATTGGTGAATGATTGTCAAATAATAGTAATGAATTTAGTGAAGTGGAATGATGAACAGGATTTTGTAAATACGATAACAAGTTAGAAAAGTACTACTTAAACCTAAGGTAATAGAAATCATAAGAAAGGTCTTTTTTTCCTTCACGTTCCCCAGTGGAACATAGGGCTTCAAGCTAGTGCCTTGAAGTTTCTGTAGCAGTGTTTATTTTACGGGATGGGGTTGCTAGCCTCATGCCCAACCTTTCCTCTTAACCAGTTATTTCTGGCTCAGCGAGGTAAAGGAGTGCGTCGGCTGGGGATCGAACCCCGGACCATGTGCACGGTCGGCGAGCGTCCTAACCGCCATGCCACCGACGCAATGTAAGAAAGGTCATGAAATCATAAAAAGTCAAAATGAACGTTTGTCAATGAAACAATAGGAAAAGAAGAAGAAAAGAAAATTGTGATAGGAATTTAAAATGCTAATATTTATGGAGGATTTGTTGGCTTTATTGTAGACCAAGGTAAACATAGAGGTTGAACATACTTCTTCTGTATACAAAGAGTCGGTCTTCTGGTATTGATTGCAACCGCTTCAGCTACTGACAGAAGACGCAGTGGAGCTCGTCTAGATAGACTACCAGGAATACGGTAAATAACTGAGAACGCCTGGTCAAGTTTTATCGAGTGTCCAGTATACACCAAGTGGACTAAGACTGCACTATTTAGGCTTTTGGTCATCCCTTTACTCAAACATACAGGTACATGTTCACACGAAAGTCCAAGAAGACATGAACGCTTACTGCCGATAGTGGAGCCAGCTGAAAGCGACTACAGAGAACAGAGTGAAGCGGAGATCAACTGTTGAAGATCTGTGTTCCACTCCGTACCGAAAGGAATAATAATAATAATTTCATTTTATTACCATTCTTCTTAAGGTTTTTCACATAGATTATATATTAACAACACAACATATACTACTGATTAATATGAGTAGGTGAAAACCAATCAGGTGGATAAATAGTATTTGCTAATCAGATCAAAGTAAGCAGAACTACCAGTTAACATCGCCCTCCCCCCCCCCCCCCCGACGAGAACAGAAGTCCTGAAGGCAATCAAGATGCTAAAAGCTGGAAAAGCAGCAGGACCAGACGGAATCCCAGCAGAAGCATTGAAAATGGACCCAGAGACAACAGTGGACTTGATGACACTACTACTGGAGAAGGTTTGGAAAGAGGGCAAGGTACCCGAGGATTGGAAGAGAGGCTACTTATTCAAACTACCAAAGAAAGGAGACTTAAGCCAATGCAAAAACTGGCGCGGAATTATGCTCCTGTCCATCCCAAGCAAAATACTAAGCCGCATCATCCTGGAGAGAATCAAACAAGCCAACCTGGATGAAAAACTTCGACCGGAACAGGCTGGATTCAGGAGAAACAAGTCATGTATTGATCAGATCGCCACACTACGGATCATCATTGAACAAAGCTTGGAATGGCAGTCACCTCTCTATCTCAACTTCATCGACTTTGAAAAGGCCTTCGACAGCGTCGATGGAGAGGTGATTTGGAAACTACTTCGCTACTACGGTGTGCCCCCGACAATTATACACCTCATCCAACAGTTGTACGACAATGCTGCATGCCAAGTAAT